ATACAATATTATGGTACTATCGAGCTGGTTTGATGATGGGACTGCAAGGTGGCTGATGGACCCTGGACTGCCTACTAGTATACATATCGAGGCTCATTAAATTTGTCTTAAAATATTCTGTTTATTTCACGTTAAAGGGAGGGTAATAAAAACTAATTGTTTAAAACACTAAAAACACGCTTTTATTTACTGCACAAAAAAGCTTAAAATAACGAAATATACCCTCTGTTTACTTCATTAGGGCATTAGAGTAAACCATGTAGGTATATAGTTTATTTTAACATATATAACTGAAAAAGCGTGGGTATTTATTTTAGTATAAACACAATACATCTCTACATGTCATGCCAAAAAGCTATTTCCCATTGTTTTGTACATTCCGTATATAAAATTATATAATTTTGGAATATGCTTATCGAGACCTTCAATTTGATTTCCATGTGTCCATATCGTCTATAAGGTCATTGCATATTGTTACATTGTATTGAACCAAAAAAACATTAAAAAATATCTCATGGTGTAATGTTTTCAGTAGTAGGATTCATCACGCATTTAAAAGCTATGGTGGAATTAAAGAAGCGTACATTCACACTTAAAGAATTAGGTACTATCTTTGGCAGTTGTGTAAAACAATCTCTGACGATTATTTATTCTTCCAAGAACAAGAGAAGTTAAAGCTTTCTTTATATCTACCTAAGTAGGTACTTATTATAACAACGGTATTTCCATTCACTGTGACGTCTTACGAAAGTCAGAACATTTTTAAATAACTATTTTTTCCTAGTGTTCAGTTATAGAATGACGACCTTGCAGTAACATCTGTTTGTCGACTGCCAAATGCATCGGTTCTTGGCGCCATCGAGGTTCTTTCTTTTTCCGACCGACATTTGTTTTTTGTCAACTCAACTGTGATATTTTGACCATAAGGTTGCAAATTGGATGGATAAGCGAGTAATTAATGACGTTGATTGCAATTACAATGGGTAATGTAACATTAAAGCAGAATGTTCTCGAAAGCGATCAATTTGTTTGTTGACATAGGCACGAGCATCACACTATCTTCGCGTCAGTTGCCTACACGTGAGTCTCCGTTATCTCCTATGCTTTGATAATAATAGAATGGGCTCGATTTCATTGTGTATATAATCCTAACCGTACAGTTATTGAACTACCGTTTTTTTATATCAAATATCAGTAGGTAGGTACGAGTAAGTGTCCTCATCTGGACCCTAGTCGCATAATACGAGAATAAGAGAATTATGTATTTCAAAAGAAGGATCGATAGATGTTAATGATGCGAGGAAGCAGTATGGAGAGCCCTCTCTCCAAACGATTTCCAAAAAAATTAAATCTGCGATTTCTATAATTCATATACCAGGGAGAACTTAGCCAAAGGAGAACTTAAAATGTTGTGGAACAGAGGACATAGTGTGTATATTTGTTTATTAGGCAAAACATTGGTAATATATTTACTTGTGAGCCTTATTAAACATCTTGTTATGTGTAGGTGCTACTTTTCATTACGACTGGATGGCTTCCTCGTTTGACGCTGAATAAAAAATATTTATTTCTGTACAGTTACGCTGACGCAAATACAATAAATCTGTGGGTGCGAATAATTTCAGGAAAACATGAAAGATAAATTAATCTTTGGAAGAATACTAATTTAAATGAGTAGGACAGTACTAAATTGTTGTTTAGTTATCAATGAATTAAATAGTGAAGTAGCGACATCTAGAATTAATTTGGCATAAGATTCTCTTGGCGCAGTCAGTGAAAAGCGCCAAAGCGCGACAGATGGTAGCGATTTTTCATGTTTTCGTAATGGCCGTGGCCGGTTATTTGGATGGGTAGGTAGGTAACGAGTATTTTTTTATCACGATTTAAAAAGCAGGTAAAGTCATTGGTCTCGCCTGCATTAGTAATTTCACACCCACTTCTTCTAATAATGGTGATGGGTTATTGTCCCAATTAAAAGACATTCAGTTTATCAAGGTTTTTCCCAAACCGGAAAAAAGGCCCTGGAAATCTAAACTCGGATGTTTTTTCCATACTTAATTACAACGAAACCGAATGTACCGCTGAAGTACGAAAGAACACAGCGAAAGTGAAACAACATAATATTATCAGATTATCCAAGTAAAGTAGTATTTCGTGTAGGACACTGCATTATCCGAATTCTCGTATTTTATTTTATTTCTAGTAATTTTTATGTTAAGTATACTCAAATCTAACTGGACAGTGCAAGTAAAGTTACTTCAGGAAAGAAGAAACAAGTTAAATAATTTAACACACCTGCCAAAAATAAACCTAAAAGTCATTGCAGTTGGGAATTTCGTAAAGTTTTACAAATAATAGTCCTCCATTTATTGGTAGGGCACTCGTGTTTTCTAAATATTTTTGTTGAGACTGTGTCGTATAGGAACTCAAGTTTCGGGAGCTCAAAACTTTATTTTTAAAAACTATAAACTTAAGACAATGTTTGCCGCTTTGGAGGCCTAGAAATTAACTTATGTAAAACTAACGTGTTTTCGATTTGGAGGCTACTACACGAATAAATCTAAATCTTAAAGATGTCTCTATCGATTAGTTCTTAAAAGCATCTCCATGTGTCCGGAGCAAGATTAAACAATTCTCATTGATTTAACTTACCAAGAATTGATTACAAAGTGAAGGGTGAGGGGAATCATAAAGTACTAAACAAAAACACGGAAATATTATCACACAGGAGCCGCCTAAGAATATCCTGAGATCCTGACATCAGCCCATAGACCATATTTATTAGACAAAGATATGTTTACTGCGGATAAGGTCTCAACTAGATTTTCGGTAAATGGTGTAAGGTTTTCTTTGGCTTGATTTTTGATGATGAGGTTACTTATATAATTTGGTTTTGTATTAAAAGACAAGGCCGTCGGCCTCCTACGGTTGCCTTAATCGAAATGTTAATGCATTTGTGACTCAGTCAGAGGAGTCTAGGCGGTTCAGTGCTCACGTGAACAGTAAAGTAGTAGCAAAAAAAGCCTGTTGACAAGCGGCAGGTAATGAAATGACAACGGATTGTGGGTCGATGAGCATCCAGTTCCATTGTTTAATTTAATAGAACATTTCCTATTTGTAGTTTGACGATTTTCCCCTTTTAAAAAGACTTAAATTAAAACGTTTCGTATTCTCTTTTGCCATCCGCGATTCCTCTCATTTTATTTAGTCTTGTCAATGTATGGTTTTCCCTAGCAATTGTACCAAACAGCACTGATTAGCACTAACATAAAATAAAAATTGTAGCGTAATAAACAAAACACTTCAGTACACAAAGATGTCGAGTCTGGCATGGTTCCTAAACCCAAACTTAAATTTGACAACAGTGTATCCTTGTATTTTTTACACAGAATTAAAACGAGAGACTGATGTTAAATTTAGTTTTAAGTTTAGAGAATCATGTCAGGATCGACACCAAACTTAACGTTAGGGATAAAAATACTACTATAATGAATAATAGTAACAGAGAAATAGTTTGTAGTTTGATTCTTCTTTATCAACCTAAAAATCGAAAGATTCAATATGAAATACCCAAAAAACAATGCATTTTTCGCAGAAAAGTCATGAATTTGTTTTCGAGGTGCTTAAAAAATCTTTATTTTTATATTTATATACATAAAATTGGTCGCTATTTTAATGGAGACAAAAAAAAATTAAAATTGCCCTCTAATTACCACTCCAACTGAAAATGATCGCTACCACTTTATAATTTACTTAATTTATGTAGTTGGGATATAAGTTTCACCGGTTTAGAGAGCTAAGTTTTGAAAAAAATGAGGTAGAAGTGAAGAGCTTTTTTGCAAATTGTCTTTTTTCGAAAATTTCTCAAAAGCTATGAAAAATAAGCAAGATACTGAAGAGTTATAAATTGTAGACATTTTTCTTTTGAAACATTTTTGTTTTTATTTTCGTTTGAAAAAAATGGAGCAAGATGTGGCCATTTCAAGTTTGCATATGTAAAAATAAGAAATTATAGATTCTATAGATTTAGAAAAAACCTACAAAACTAAGGGAGTTATGGTAAAAATACCCAATCACATTTTTTTAACATTAATAAAAACGTATATATTACAATACTCCAAACTCATACTTGGCAAACCGAAGTCAACTTGTTACACTTAAGGGTTACCAATCAACTCCTGTTACCGTGACATCCGGTGTACCGCAGGGATCGCATTTGGGTTGTTGGTTGCTGTTCGTTAATGTCTTCATCAACGACTTAGTCAGTTTATTGTCTTACAATAGTTTGTTTTATGTTGATGACTTGAAAGTCTTTACCCGAGTTGCGGTCTCGGTACAGTAATTATGATGTGCTTCAGAATAACCTGGATGTATTGTCTAAATGGTGTGGTGAGAGATAATTTGCTGATAAACTAAAAATATCGTTGCGTTTCGTGCACATTATGAATATATCGTTGCTAAAAGCAGCAAAACGTCAGACTTTGTTCTCGGGTCAAATAAAGACTTTAAAAATATACAAGGTACAAGGCTCCAATGCAGTCTTTTTCGATCTATCCTTGAATATTGCTGCGTGATATGGTCACCTCATTATATAATTCACGCTAAAAATGTAGAAACCGTGCAGAAAAGGTACCTGAGGGTATTGTCATACCGGTGTAGAATGAATCGATTTTTAACTTCTTATAAAAATCAGAATCATTAAATATTACTTTATTATTAGCATATTAATCGTACAGGCATCACTTTTGGCCGACTGGTTCCGAAGATAAATCAAGTTACATTTTTTGTGACAAAATCAACAAAAGACAGCAGGAAGGGTATCAAATCGTAGTAATATGCATGAAAATATTTTTCTACCTTTTTAAAGTAATCAGCCTTTTATCCTTAAAAAGACGATCTAGATGGTTCTTAACTATAATTCATGAAGATTGTTCAGGCGTTTGCAGATCATTAGGTGTCATTCCATATTTGAGAAAAGGGTCTTTAGCATCGTAACTTACTTCTTTTGTTTTTTAAGGTACTTACGACTTGTTCACTGAAGAAAAAGGTTGCTGATAATTAATTTCTGGTATAAGTAATTCTCGTTTTATAAAAATAAAACAACGACAACTTAGGTGACTCTCTGTAATGATTTAGGTACTTAGCTTGCTTTTGAATATAAAACTAAAGTTAGTTACAAACATTCAAAGAGCGATTAAAAAATTTACATCTCAGTTAATTAGCTGCCGTAATATTTAATCAATCCTGAAGAATCTGATTATTCAAGCGATTTTTTAATTTTAATAATTCCCTTAAAATGTCTACGATGAGGCTTATTACAGCTTCACTACCTTATTGTTCACTTTTGTCCAAAATGTTTGTTACAAACTATATCTAAACCTACTTAACTACAGAATCTTTAAATATCAAGTCAATAATACAGATCTGTTTTTCTAAGTCTTCTTTTTCTTATTTTTCGGTTTAATCTGTTTCCAAGGCGTGAAATCAGGCTGCGGCAGCTCCTTGCAGTCCACGAGTGGGTTGGTGGGGCCCACTGTTTCCATCACTCGAGGCTGAGCCTGGTCCAGGAGATCTTCGTTTGCGCAGATCACGCCAGCCAGTGTGGTCTTCCTTATTTCAGTCAGTTGGGCTTGAAATAATAATAATATACAAGACACACAAGTAAATTAAAATCATGAAAGGCAGAACGTACACAATATAGACGGCCTTATTGCTAGGCAGCAATCTCTTCCAGGCAACCCATAAAAGAAAGATAAATAAATATGAAGGAGAAAAGGAGGGGTGTATAGAAAAAAATAATAATATCAAAGGAAGGAAAACAGATATATATCTAAGAAAGGAAAGAGAGAGAAAGAAGAAAAAAAAATTTAACATTATGGTTGGGATAGGAAATAACTCCGAACTTGAATCCTAAACGAGTTCAGAGTGCGAGCTTTTCGAATATTTCTGGAACTGAGTACAGAATGCACAGAGAAAAAATAAGAAAAGAAATCAGTAGAATGACTTGGAATTTCAAGAGATAGGTTAGAAGAAGAACGCAAAGTGCGCTGTGAAGTAGAAGAGAGTAACGAGAAGCATTCTTTTAAGTAATGAGCAGAAGAGGGTAAGAAAAGTACGGAGTAAAGAAGCGTAAGAGTGTGTAAGTCCCTGCGCTGGCGAATAGGGAGCCAGTTAAGTTTACAACGGAAGTGTGAGACGTGGTCATATTTACGACGGTTGAAAATAAATCGGATACATATGTTCTGCAGACGCTGTAACTTAAATAAGTGTCAGCTTATTAGTTTTTTCTTTATCATTATTAAAAAGAGATGCAAAGAGTTTTTGTACAAGGTCGCAGAATGCTTGCGATATTATTAATGTGGGTGCAGGCGTTTATAGGCAACGGTAACAGCTCACCATCAGCCGTGTGCTTGGTTTTCATATTTACTACAGATCATCACCATCAGCCTTTTAATGCCCTGCCAGGGCACAGGCCTTCCCAATGGATGTAGTGGGATTAAGGAGATTGAATCATGGCCCACCACGCGGGCCACAGGATTGGTGGGTACTAACGACTACAAATGCAGCCGGGACCGACGCGACGACTTAATTATGCCTTTGAAGTACGGCGGAGATCAAGATTAATTAAATTTTTTGGTCACTCGTCCTGTGACTGGCCATTGCAAAAGTGGCTTCACTTCCACAATCATAACCAATAGCACCATGGAGCTCCTCGAACTACAGATAATATAATACCCTTTTTGTGGGGAAAGTGGCTTGGGAGAGGGAAGCTCTTAGTAAAGAATAAATAGAAGTACTCACCAATGGAGAAGCCCACAGTTTCATCTGAAGTCTCGTACCAGAAGCGGTCTCCCACTTTGAGTCGCAAGAACTGGTCGGACACGAGGCAGCTGAGCGTCGGCCCCAGCAGGCGGCCTTTAGGATCCTCGGCCAGAGCTCCGGTGTAAAGGTCTATGTCATCCACATTTCTATACAGAAAGATAATATTTAAATAGTTATAATTTTTATTTTTTAAGCATGTAACTGCTTGATGTTTAAATCTAAACAGAATATAACTAGATAAAAGAGCTGCCTGGTCCGCGTGGAATTTTTTCTAGTTATATTTTCTTTAGATTTAAATATGTCAAGGTGCTAGGATTTGATGACATTTTCTTTCATGGTCAGATAGTTTGGCACCACACCTTGGGTAAGTTAAGAAAACAACGTCACGTCGTATTTAAATGAAGGTTCTATGAAAAAATCATCATGGCTCAACTACACTTGGTCGTTAGCCCGAATTCGGGTACACGTAAGACATAACACAAATTCGGGCACCCGAAACAATATTTACACTAAAATACGGGCTGAAGGATGGTGTCCGGGTAACCAAAACGGAAACTTCCCTAATACGTGTACTCGACTCCGTTCATTTACGCTTAGTCGTTTATCCGAATTCCATTGGCACTCGTATTCGGGCTAGCGATCGAATGTATTCGGGGCAAGTGAAGACTGTAGTCTCGCTTATATATTTTTAGATGCGGCTGAACGATTGGTTGTCGAACACGTAGGCCAGGTCGTCGAGGCTGGCGGGGCGCGGGAGTCTGAAATATTGTCTCCAGGCGGAGTAGGGCACAGGTGTAGACTGCAGACTCACTTGTATATCTTGTAGATGCGGCTGAGCGATTGATCGTGGAATACGTCGGCATGGTCGTCGAGGCTGGCGGGTCGGGAGAGGCCACAGTGTTGTCTCCAGGCGGGGTAGATGGGCAGGTGTAGACTCACTTGTATATTTTGGAGACGCGGCTGAGCGACTGATCATCGAACACGTCAGCCAGGTCGTCGATGCTGGCAGGCCGGGAGAGGCCGCAATGTTCCCTCCATGCAGGATAGGCGGGAAGTCCGTGATCTCGCCCGCGCTGGATGTTTAGCGATACTAAGTCGAGGCCGCATGGGCCTGTCTTGTGGGGGGAGGTGCTGTTTGTCCCGTTTACTACTAGGGGACGCTCGAACAGGTGGTTGCTTAACTGAAAATATTGACATTAGTTCTGAGACAGATGCTTGGATGGAAACAAAAAAAAATATGTGCTGATAACCTGAGGGGTATTCCTAGTTCAGATGTCATCTCGCAATAATTAGTTGAGTGACCTTTTTACTTAGTGTTATTTATGTATTTAGAAGAAGCTGATTAAGGTGAGAAATAAAGAATTATTATTATGTAATAACACAAAAGTCTTGAGAGAGTGAAGCCTCAATCGGATCCGAAATATCGAGAATCATGTGAAAGTTAATATAAGGAAAAACATTCCAACTATTTTTAGACTTAACTCATGCATGGAGGTATGTGAGATTTTGTATAATAAAAGATTTTAATTACAGGAAAGGCTTAACTGAAATGTTTACTATACCTCAGTGGTAACATGAGGATCTACGCTGTGTACGGGCGTGTTCATGGCCGAAGAGACTGCGGATTTGGCACCGCGAGCGCTGTACAGCGCGTAAGGGTTGAACAGCATCTCGTGCAGCTGCACGTAATTGATGGTGCCCGTGCTCCGGTCCACGTTGTGGATTAACCCCTACAGATGAGGAATTTAAATGAGACTTGACAACATTGAAGTAGCCGAGTTGTGCTGGGTTCGGGAAGCTTCGCGAAGTCTTCTCGGACGAATTACTAAATAGTCTGAAGATCGTCTCTGCGAACGTTTAAGTTAAGCAACTTTCGTGGCTCTTTCATAGGGTATGTGACCAAAGATTAACCATCTTGAGCTCCTTCGTGTTTCGGAAATCGGAAGGCACTTAAAGTCGTTGGTTCCAGCTGTGTCTGCAGTCGTTAGCACTGGGCTCGCGTTATGGATCATATGGCTCATTATCTTTATTCTATCCATACGGAAGGCCTCAGCAGTGGGGACATAAATAAGCTGTGCGAAATAATTCCTATAGATTCTACTCCCTTACTGGTATTTGTCCCTTTAATGGTGATGATTAAACTATTAGCTGGACATACCGGTAGAAGTGTATGTGCGAATCTAAAAGCAGCCGCGGAGAAGTGGTTTGCCACAGTGGGGTCCACTGTGGGGTCGTAGACATCAGAGTGTCCGTCGGGCAGCAGGGTCAGGTTCAACGCGAACATCACATCCGTACCTGGAGACATCAACGCCAATTGGTAAATTTCTTTAGATTTATAAAATGTGTTGCAAAATAAAGCTAGCTTTATCTCACTGAAGCCGCATTTACCATTGGTTAAGAACAGTTATTCTGTTAATTTTTTTCAACATTGACTATATAATACAGTCATTTGGTAGTTTTACCTGGAAAGTTTTATGGGAGTTTTGAAAATTGGTAATTTTATAAATTTTTTGACGTGATCTTTCCGAATTTCGACTTTGCCACCTCGTATTTTTGCCGCTCTCGCGGTACACTTTGCGGCGCTCGTACGCCAAAACTATTGACTTTATGAAAAAAAGGTAGATACATAAATTGTAGGCAATTATCTCTTGTTTCATTTTGTATATAACTGTTTCGTAAAATGAGTCGGAAAGGAGATATTGTCAAAAAACTGCTTTTAGGCGCGATTTTTCCAATATGGCGCGGCGCGAGCGGCAAAAATACGAGGTAGCAAAGTCGAAATTCTGAAAGAGCACCTCAAAATCTATAAAATTACCAAGTTTAAAACTCCCGGAAAACTTTCCAGGTATCCACTATATTTCTCACCAAATGACTATAAGTACTAATATGATAATTAATTAAAAAAAATCAAATTGAAATGAACGCCGACCGTAGAATTTGACATAAGCGAAAACTTTCAGCGCAGGATAATTTATCAAACTTATCGTGATTGGTCTCTCTGCGGGCGACAGGGAGGGAGACCAATCATTTATACAAGTTTGCTCACGAAATTTTTAATTAGTCTGACTATGAATGAAGATGAAGGAAAGAAGTTGAAACCGGTGAAGTGGCATTTTTATACAAATTATATTTAGGACGAGTTGATTTGGCATAATCATGAACATTATCATCAAATATCAACAATAATCAATACACGAAAACATGTTTGAAGCATAAAAACTCCTAAAACTACTTTCATTATTTAATCTCTGGTTTCATGTCAATTGTTTCTTGGTTTATTTAAAGTTTCAATTGTTTTACCGAATATTTTGTGTGTTGGAACTCTGTATAGGTGATGCTTCCTGGTCAAGGGTCTCGTCGTTTCAGGTGGGGTTCAACTTTAGAAGCTCAGCGGTCACTCAGTAAATCGTTTTAATCTTACCGAGTATCTGCGCTCCGATTATCCTCCTACTTTCCTGGTAAAGTGTCTGTAGTGTGGGTTTCAACTTCTAAAGCTCACTGATCACTCACAGCAAATGATGACAATGAATTCTATTCCAATTCTACCATTGTTTTACTTCAGTTTGTTCTATCTTACCGAGTATGGCGAGTAAGAACTCGGCATATGTGATGTGCTGCATCTGCGCTACGAAGATTCTGCTAGTTTCCTGGTAAAGTGTTTGTGGTATGGGTTTCAACTTTAAATGCTCACTGGTCATTCAGAACAAGTGATGACAATTAATTCTAGTTGGTATATCTTACCGAGTATGGCGGGTAGGAACTCGGCATAAGTGATGTGCTGCATCTGCGCTCCGACGATCCTCCTAGCTTCCTGGTACAGTATCTCATCTTTCCAGGTGGGGTTTAACGTCAGTAGTTCAGCGGTTACTCGGTTGTGTTGACGCGCCCAGATCAAGTGCATTGTGGTCAAATGCAAGTTCTCGTTGGCGCGGTCGTCACCTGAGTAAAGTAAGTTTAAGATTTTAACTTATTTCATTATAAAGTGGGTTGAAGAGCCGACCATTCAAGGTTGGCAGAACATAGTGAATCATAGATACTTTGGTAATGTAGGTTTGATTACATCTAATCAAACTGTACCTTTCCAAAGTATTAGCAAGATTAGGCAGTGGGAGGCATACGTTGTCGAATCACTAACAAGGTCGAAATTGCCTCTATTTTTTCTGCATACCTTGGAGCCGACATAACTGTTACATATTATCTATTTCCTTCTCTTTCTTTCTCAGGTTCCTCCTAAATTTGAATAATTATAATCTTTTGACTACTATTCTTGATTTAAAGTAGTAGAAGAAAGGATTCCTTACCGGTCTCGAAGCAGTATCGTCCCATCGCATTCATCTGCGCTGTATTGCAGGGGTCTGTTGGATCTGAAGCAGGTGGTAGTAGCTCTCTCATGCCATCCCGTAACATACGCAGTCTCCCGTTTGCTTGCAATCTCAGACTTGTTGCGCGTTCTTCCGTATACCCGTAGACCGTAGAGCCGTCGAGAAACGCCGTAGCTTGATTCATCTGCTCTCGGGGACCTTAGAAAAGGAAGATTTAATGTTTAGAAAAGTGGAAAAAGTCTCCATCTTGCAGATTGCTGTTAAAACACTCTTCTGGAGGAATACAGTAATGATTTAAAAGGAAAAATATGCTGCCATATCTTTGTGCCCTACCATGGAATTCCTTCATATAATTTTCTTGTATTTCTATTTATTAACTTATTATTTGTCAGGTTCTTGCAAGTTTTTAAATATTTACGTGGTTTAGAAACAATATTTCCAATATGGAGTTAATATACCTATAATGTTAGGTGCATATACCGTCCTTGGTTTCCAATCAAGTATAGATGTTTAGTTAAATGCAATTGATCGAAAGTCAATTAATTTATGTCATAAGATTATTGATATCAGTCGCAAGAAATTCCACAATGATAGCGGGCTTATTAGTTAGGTACCAAAATTTCAGTAGGTAATTAATTGCCTGACTAAGATTTGTTTAAAACAGACAACGGTTAGTTAGTTAGTTAAAATAGTCATATTCATAAGCATAAGCTGATATATCAAAAAGGCGTTCACTGCCTATCATAGATGAAATTTCAGAATATTTTCTGGTTAACAGTCCTAGATATTTTATTTACCAAAATAGCATGTGGGGCAAGGTGCTGATCGAACGAACTCCATGCAGGTGACGTTGTACTCCTGGTAGAATGGATCTTCAGCGTCCAATCGTACGGGGAAGCATTCGGGGTGCGGCGGCAGATTTGGGTCACAGCATGATAATGCACTGCTGTTTTCTCCTGAAACATAAATATAAATCCATCTAGTAACCGAATCAGTAAATTTTATTTTAGGATCGGACCCATTTCTAGCATTAGGTGCTATGAATTTCCAAAACATGTCATCAATCTATTAAAGCCACATATATGGCTTTCAAGGACAGGGTCACAAAGGGAGAACATACCATTGCCCATAATTCAAGCCTAGTAGATCCTTGGAACGTACCAACAGTGTGGCCAACTCGGATTTTGAAAAAATTACGTAGAATTGGTAAGTTTTGCATATGAAAAGTACGTAGATCTACGTACTTTTTTCTGAGTGAAATGAAGAAGTTAGGTGAAACCGAATAAAACGAGTATTTTGTTATACAATTTGTTTAAGAACGGGAGATAGAACAAGGAGTTCTTGGAGAAGTCGCTGCATTGGAAGCATTTACCATGCTGTGGTAGACATTAACCATCAGACACAGATACTGGTGGGTGTCGATGCTGGATGGTTCTCTAAATTTAAAACTAAATTCAACATCTATCTCTCCTTTTCATTGTGTATAGAGAATGACAAGGATAAACTGTTGTTAAATGGGCTAGTTGACACTTTTTGGAATTATGTTTTAAATTGTTAATAATTGATCTATCAGACCGAAAAAAAATGTATTTTTTTACCTAGAAGACATACAAAAACGCTATTTAGTCTATAGACCTATCTATGCTATGACGTCGAAACATTTGTAAACAAACACTCGCAAGCACGTAGGAAATAAACTTTCTAAGTTAATATTATAAAACCATGATTTCGAATAGATCACATGAAAAATATAGTAGTTATCATGATACACTTGGTAAAAGACTCTAGAATAGTTGTGGTTTAAATTGCCAAGAGAAATAAACATACTTACACATGAACATATGTTTAAAACTTGCTAAATCCTGTAACTTTATCGACTGAAAGTCATTTCATTTTACAAAGATCAATTCGATGTGAATAGGTACTCAGTGGTGCCAATTCTGGCGTAATTCTCTAAACTTAAAACTAAATTTAACATCAGTCTCTCCTTTTCATTCTGTATGGTGAATGGCGAGGATATACTGCTGTCAAATTTAAGTTTAGGTTTAGAGAATCATGCTAGAATCGACACCATTGATAATATTTAAAGTTTAAAAATACAATTTTTAAGGTTATGAATGTACCTACTAAGTCAAAGAGTTTTGTCGTTTCTGCTTTCACAAATCCTGCGTCCAGCATTAATTTAGTCAACAAAACCAATAACGGGAACCTTTTCTACAAGATACAAGAGTGTTTAGATACATCTTTATAAGAAATAAACATTTGTATAGTTTTTAAGTAAAGTAACGGAAAATATTCTTCTTTATTCTAGTGAATTAAGTTATTTTACAAATTTGAAAAAAAATAAGAAAATACGTAGATTCTGGGACTGAAGTTAGTAGGTTTCTAGAAAAGGCCTAAAATACGTAGATCTACGTAAAAAGACGTAGAGTTGGCAACACTGCGTACCAATGCCACTTTTACCGAGTCTGCCAAAGGTAACCTAAAGCGGTTCTAATAACACAGTTAGCTTCCAGTCCAGACAGGTAACAAACAGGTAATACCCATTCTTCAGGCAGAAAAAAAACCTAATCGTACGGATTAAACAGAGGATTAGAGATGGCAATGTTTAAGATAAGCACCTTTGCTTAAGGCCGTGGCAGTGATATCATGGTCGATGAATTGCCCCCACACGGCGAGCATGACGGTGAAGGAGGTGTCGTGCGGGTAGCTGGGCCGGTGCACCGTCACACTGACGTCACGCGCGCTGGGCAGGCTGGAACCATCCACTGCAGTGCGAGGCGAGCTGATACCTGTAAACAATAGCATCATTATAGTCCACCGATGAACACTAGACTGGATCGTTATTAGAATTATCAGATTATATCGAGGGTGCACCGTCACATTGATGTCACGCGCGCTGGGCAGGCTGGAACCGTCCACTGCAATGCGAGACGAGCTGATCTCTGACATCAAGACCATTGGCTAATTGTTGTGTACTGATGAACACTAGCCTGGATCGTTATTAGAATTATCAGATTCTATCAAGGGTGCGCCGTCACGCTGACATTATATGTACATTTTTAGTCACCCATCTGATAACCGGCCATTACCAAAGTTGCGATCGAGCTCTCACCGGTAACTTGCTCAAACGCATCCTATCAGTTTCTTTCTATTCTTAAAAAATATGTCTCCTATCAATTAAGTAACGTAATTATTTATTGCAATATATGCTAATATCACAGCGTCTAGGTAGTAGAAATGGTGACTCTTACCATCACCATAATCTGGGGGAAGCACTCTTCTGAACGGAGTTCTAGAAACTCCCCAGAGGTAAGGGTGCTCCAAATTATTGCAGCTCCCATCTTGAGTTCTGTATTTGGATGACGGACACTTCGGAACCACCTTCTGACAGTAGCGAGGTTCTAGGAACGAACCATTCGTAGGAGGTCCCTGGAATGTTCCCCCCGTTTGCTTCGTGCTGTCTGTGCTGGAACAGTAAAGATATTAAAGGTTAAACGTGATTGGAATACTGGACTGTAGACAAACTATATAATCTACTAGCAACTTTCCAGAGCAGAAAGAGGCCATTCATTTATTACGTAAGACGATTAAGGGGGGGCGAGGGGTCAACCATGTCTTATTTTTTCTTACAAGAGGATGAGAGCAAGTCTTGATAGTTAGAAAATTCTTTTCATATATTCATTTTTCCTATTTTGCGTTTTATTATATTTATTATAGTAATAGTTTTTAATTTACACATCTAATATATAGATAAGTTTGTAGAGAAACTATTCAGATAAATGAAGCCTAGATGTACAGTAGAATTCGAATAAAAAGAGGAAAATCGGCCGGAATATTTTTTGATTATCCGGCCGTGAAAAACAAAGTAGATGGCTGTACAGAAGAGGGGGCTAGTAAAATGGTAAGGATGAATGATTTAAACAAAAGTTTATTACTACTAAAAAATAAAAATTATTAGTACCTTTGTAAAAATTGATATTTTGAGAAATAAACATTGAACCATTACATTTACATTTCTAAAAATTGATATTTTGAGAAATAAACATTGAACCAAACCGAACGTGTATTCATTTTTTCCTTTTGATTCATACGTAATAAATATTAAACGGAGGGGGTCAAAAACTAGCGAAGAAAGTTTTACGTAATAAATGAATGGCGGCAAAACAAAAACCTATCATTGGTTAGGGTAGTTTCGTGTAACTTATGTATCTTTAAAGAGGAACTCATACAGCGGTATGAGTTATCATAGTATTATTAAAATGGAATGCGATGTATGCCTGTCTATATAAAATTTTATCTAGTTCATGTCAGAAATAGATCTCAACGATGACACATTGCAAAATATGATGGCACGACTATTTTTCTTTTTTTTTAACTTAACTAAATAAAATGCGAATTTTAGTTGTTTAAAAAAAAAGAAAAAAAATCTAACACTCACACCAAGTAAGGCTTGTCTTATGGGATACTGGGGTAACGGATAGAATACATATACAGTACATATCGACCTATGCATAGAATAAAGTTGCATATGAAAATGTTATCAAACTACTTTTATTATACTTTTAGGCGAAACCGACGCATATATTTTACTGGTAAAAACATTTATTCTAAAACTTATATAACTCCGAAGATAGCAATTGAATAAAGGTTCATGTGACTTTTGTTTCCGAAGAATATAGAGTCAAGAGCACTAATACCTTTTGGATAGGCAAGAAAGCAGCCTGCACGGCTTCAATTTTGTTACAATCTGTGGCTTTTTACTAAATATTGATTAAATTTTTCTTATTTGCCATATTATCATAATGTGACGCGACAGGGCATTTAAAGTTTGTAAAACAAAGTTTTATGTTTACACTAGCTTTTGCCCGCGACTTCGTCCGCGTTATCGTCGTTTTTCGTAAAAAAGTAGCATATGTCCTTCCTCAGGGTTACGTGGTTTTGATGTGACAGACAGATTAACTTTCGTATTTTAGTAGGGAAATATAATAACTGTTAAAAATATCGCAATAAGGAACCGCAGAATATTATTATTATCACTGTGCCCCGAGACCATCAGCGTGTAACTCCTTGTATGTTATTATGTTAATGTATTGGTAATATTGTTTAGATCGCTTTCACATGAGTCTTAAGTACATATAGAATGAAAATACTTCAGCGCAAAGCTTCCGGGTAGACTACGTTGAAATTTGACCCGTCCGGAACGTGAACATAAAAAATTCTAGGACTGCTAACCCGGGAAAGACCGACATAACTGACCATGTGAAAAACAACTGACACCGAGATCTACTCCAACAACACGAAAGGTCTGCCCTTGAGCCTTATTTATTGTCATTGCATAACACACCGATACTGGGAATTGCGTTCTTTTAAATTGGAATGGAAAATTATTTGGTATTATGGGAATTCTGGGAATAAAGATGGTTTCTCCTGCACCGCAACCTATTAAAATTTGAGCCTCGATTACATTTTGTTGCAACTGGGTTACTTTAAGCCGAGTTCCATTGCAGTGGTCTTAAATTTCGGAGCAGAATAATCGGAATGCCAATTTTTAAACAAATTTCATGAGAAGGAAGTACGGGCATATTTAAAGAATTTAAAAATTATATCGGGTAATTAGTGGCTTCTTGTTCATCGGCCATTCTATTTATTGAACTATAAACTTTGCTTTCCCCCTGGATATTCGACAGTATTTTATTAATAATCTCAGATGCCTGGTCATTGCGAGGAGTTAAAATGGACCTTTCGCATAGCCAAGAATTGTTCTTATTTATATATTTGTTACGTCACCGTAAACTGACGATGTAAGATGATGTTGGGATTGCACTATACAACATAACTCAGGCGTCAGAATAAGTTTTCCTTGGTGTAGCAGTGGATAGGTATCTTTGGTGAAGGTATTTTCTTTAATAATATATCAGAAAATTCACGATCATCCGGGTTATCTACAGTTCTCACTCGCATGTTTATAGTCAAATGCACCGATTGTATATCACGCGACAAATAAGAGCTTTTCAGGCAAGCCCTAACCTCAGCAGCTCGGGTTCCCCGTGGTATTACCGTTAAGGTTTGTCGGAAATCACCACAAAATAAAACTGTGATACCGCCCATGGGTCGATCATTTTGTCTTATATCTCTTAAAGTTCTGTCTACCGCTTCTACTCCTTTTCGATGGGCCATCGTACATTCATCCTATATGATTAAATCACACTTTGAACGAATATTTAAACACTACCAAAACAACTAATACGTGGTCCTAACTTTAGCTACCTTACACATAAAATCTAAGTGACTATTTGAACTAAAATATTCTTATAGAATTATAACCAGAAATATATTCAACTCACAACAAAAAAGAAATGAAAATAAAGCTGAAACGCCTGTGCAATACTATCTACCTATACCTCCTTCACTTAAAAATAAATACTTATAACTACTTCAATTAATAAAAGTACCTACGCTTAATAATTTTTAATTTGAACGAATATTTAAACACTACCAAAACAACTAATACCTGTTTTACAAAATAACAACAAAAGAAATTCAAATAAACTATTTAAAGACTAAAAGTCGCGCTGACAAGCACGGTTTCGGTCTCCCAGGCGGGGGAGCAGATGAGAAATCCTCATGGATACCCTACAGCCGGCTGCAAGGTTATGTCAGACTCGTACTGACTAAAAAACACCTGTAGGGGCTGCCTCTGGCCGGGAAGGCCTCTAAGGCTTCATCGGAAGCGATCGTCCCCCAGGGGGGGAGCGACGCAGAAAACAGATTTAGACAGCTCGCTCTCGGACCTTTGATACCCTACCGCTGCCGCGACCCGTGTCGAGCGCGGCAACCGTTACACAAAAATAATCCTTATAGCATGATTCAGTATTCACGTCGCGCTTTTACATCGTACAAACTTCAAATTGCTCTACTGTAAAGTAGGGATTATGCAGAAGTAGCTTTATCCTATGGATAGGTCGATATATAAGTATATTTATATAGATATAAATATTAAACATCCATATATGACTGGAGTACAAATAGGCTCGTGTTCATCACACAAACATCGGTCCCCACCGGGATTCGAACCCGGGACCTCTCGAGAGGCGACACCTTGAAACCCGGCGTACAAACCACTCGGCTACGGAGGTCGTCGATTATATTAGCCATAATAGTCCATTGTATTAGCAACAATCTTCCAAATAGTTCCTAAATAGGAACAAACTAGATTTTTGATCTATCATAAGATTTTTATTTTTAGTCCAGCAGAAATCTCCTAACCAATCCCCCAGATTTTTTTAGAAGTACCATTAACTTCATAATCATTTTAGTTTTTTTGTTATCAATGCTAGACTGGTACTGGTAGACTAAAATCGGACAACAAAGTACGAACGAGAGACGATAACTATAATTACCTATGAGAAACTATTTAATCTACTTATAAATGTAACATTAGGCAGTGACATGAAGCAATAGTACTGCGATAATGTTTCCTACAATTTGGTAACACAGTCGACGAGGCATGGCGAAGCCGGATCGGCGCGGTGTCGGGTGTCCCATGTTGGACGCGGTCGATCGCCGGCCTCATCGGGTTGCGGTTCGGCCGCAGTAGCACGCTTTCCGATTCGGAACTGAACTCATGGAACGGTCAACCAGAGTTCCGTGCTTTATTATCCAATATAACACGATACATTTGGAAACCGGGAATGGAAACCCTCAGGTTCGAGTGGTCTAGAGGCTTCAGACGGAGAGGAGACTCCCCCGTGGGGAGATGCTATCCGCTTGGAATACCTCTAGAGGCACTCGCCAATTCTCGGTTTGAGGTCCCTTTAGGATCTCGCCGTCCCCAAGCCCGGTGACGCTGTTTACAGATGACCTTTAGGTCATCTGCGACCAACAGCATACACACTCAAAAAAAAGATGTAGACTGGAAAAAAAAGCAATCCACACCCTAAGATGTGGATTGTTTTTTAGGACTAACGTTATTACAAGTACTGTCGGATTCAAGAATCACGGCTCAGGTTTTTACGGCGCATTCCTAACCAAAAACTTGAGACGCGTTTAAATAAACATTTTTTCTAGGTATATTTTTTTTCATAGCTATTCCGCAACAGGCCCGAAACAGCCAAAAAGCACTTTGTTTATTTAAATTTAGTTTCGGTTTATTGATTATTCTAGCGTTCTCCTTTCTAGCTAGTCTGACTAGGTATCAATCTATGCAATGGATAAACTCCCAAGGCTCACGTGTTGTCTTACTCGATTTCATCCTTTACCCGCTGAAGCCTTAAAAACTGTACTCACCGAAAAAACTACAAAACTACCAAAGAGTAGCTTTCTTTTAATGTGGTCTTCTATAAAGTGAGGTTAGTTCCAGAAATAGGTTAAGCATAAAATTTATTGATTAATCATTATTAGAATGATATAAAAATGGTCATGCCATAGAGTAGGTGCACAACAAGTTTAATTCTCTGCAGATGGGTAAAGTTTAAGTTTTTCTGTCTGATTTTTTGAAGTAACAAGTTTAAGTTTATGGGTTTGTTAAAGGTCGATCATTTTATCATATTGTAGCAGGCACAGTTGATCGTGCAAATTGTTTTTAGAAGCATCAGCTTAAACAAAGACATAATTGTAAAGATGAATTTGTGTTGCGCAAAATTTTTCGATAATTCAAGTGTCCCAAGAAATATTACTTATGTTAATTTAATTGTAAGAACATAGTGCTTACTACGGACATGTTGCTCTGTCAATTGATCTAAATACCATCAATACGGTCAGGGGACTCTAATGAACTAATAATACTGGTAAATAACCGCAACCACAATGGAGAAACTAGATCATTCAACTACGATAAGATTTCACTACAAATTTGGTTCAACTGATCAGTTTACAAAACCAGTTCCTTACTGAAGAAATCGTTGGACCTTGATATTCACATAAGGTAGGTAAATAAAAAATTTCATGCTAAGTTATTGGAAGCAAACGATATTAATAGAATGTGCCTGCCACTCTGATTTTTCTTGTCCAAATAGTAAAAGACTAAAGTCCTTTACCTAGGTATGTGCTTTGTTTTTCCTCCGTTGTGCATACCTAGGTTCACGTAGGTACATATTTGCATTTTTGTTGTTGTTATTGAATTCAGATTTTATGCAAACAAAACTAAAAAGATTGTTCACAGATTCACAGCTTCTCGTGGCAAAGACTATGCCAAGAAACATGTGAGTTTCGGAAATTACTGCAGAGAGGTTTATGTTGTACCCTGTGTCTTGTACCCTTGATGTTGTGCCAGCTCACTTAGGGGGAAAATAGCTAAAGCTGATTATTTATCTAAACACTAGCGGGTTTTTGAGAATCCCACAGGAACTTGTCATTTTTCCGAAATGTAAAATGTATCCTATGTCCCAATCCAGGTCATAAACTATATGCGTTAGTAGGCGTAAGTAGGTACCGAATTTCATCCAAACAAACTTTCACATTTAAAATATTGGTAGGATAGAAGGATTTCCTGCACTGAAACAATGATGAGCAAGCTTAATTATTTAACAAACCTACAGAACAAAAGTGTTTGATATCAATATACAAGATAAAAGGCTTACTTATTAAAGAGTGCTTTGGTAGCTTCTTCAATGGCATAAGCAGTGTCGGCCATCGGTTTGATAGAAGCTGAAGTGGCCGCAGCTCTCTGCGCCCTTATGGCAGGTGTGTCTTGCCCCAAAGGGGTTCTTTTGCTCTCCAGCTCTTGACGCTTCTTCAGCGCAGCCTTGCCATGATTCACGGCTGTGGAGATGGCATCTGGAGACAGTGGGTCACCGGGCCATTCGGGGGGCGGGCGGCCTGATGAAATGATTACATAACTTTAGCAAGCATGACTACATGAAATGATTACATTACTTACTTTAGCAAACTTGATGTTTTCGCTATCGATAAAAGTATTTTTTATTTGATCTCTTCGACTGTATTTTGTTTTTGGGCCACGCTATAAATATTAGATTCATAAAAAAACCCGCGTTGTCATTTTCACACATAATTTTCTGCATATTTTATCTCCTAATCTCATTTCAAAACTCGATATACTCAGAACGCAAAAAGGTTAAAATATATTCAGCGATTATTGGTCCTTCGAGTCTCCCTGACTCTCTCCAATGAAAATTGTTGCAAATTCTGATTTCGTCGTAGCTGCAGCTTTGCACTGTTTTAGTGTTATTTACTTTGTTTTGATAAGTGATATGATAAGATTGAAACATTTATTTCTTCTATTAATTTAATGAAATTGTGACTACATAACAGCACATGAGAACATAAGCTTGTGGGTAATTCAATATAATACCTTGGAGCGGCCAGCTGAGCTGCAGAAGTGGTTGCAACTGTGTAGCGGTGAGGTTACCAGTTGTCGCCGCGGGTTCAACGACGGGAGTGGTGGTAGTGGTGATAGAACCAGTGTCATCGTCCACTAATTGGTCACTCAGGCTGTAAGACATGGTGACCAGGAGTGCCACACCGAGGAGCGCGCTGTTGAAATGAAGAAAAAAATATTAATTAATTTATATTATATTTAAACTCTGATTGTCCCCGCTCAGAAATATTTATGTCACAATGAAACGCTGTATTTTTTTCATCTCATTCGTTGATAATACTGTTCGATGTTTTTTAATCTTTATTCTATCTAATAAAAAATGATTCGTTTTTTGAGTGTAAGTATCTTCTTACATATTATATTTTAATGGACTACTTAGTTTTAATTAATTTAATTGATAGCAAGAATATTACGTATCTCGGTAGTTTAGATGGTGCAAAATATAGCCACCTAATTTAATACTTTATTACATAGTTTGATGTTTTTGATGTTATCTGCTTTAGGTAAATTCAACGATTTCTCATCAAAATTTGATACAATCATCTTCTATCAAGTAAAGGCAGAATTTTTAGATAGGCTGTAGACAGACACAATTTCTAGACATATTTTTTTTTATCGTTTATTTTATTAACTTTGTGTTATTAGCAGTTGCTTTAATTATTTGAAGGTATTATTGTTAGAAAATGAAAGAAAACTTACAGGAATCCAACGCAAACGGCGCATTGGAAATGTCGTAGCCGTTTCTGGTATGATCGCGAGAGACTGGACTCGAACACGTAAGTGGGTTGCACCAGAGGAGTTCGCTCACCGCTGCTCGACGCTCGCTGCATTATCTAATGAAAGAATGGCCTGTTCTAATCATCAAGGTGTTTTGAGGCTATTTAATGTATGCAGACAGCTTGATGGCACAAGTGGTATGCGATTGTGGAAGTTTCGCAATGATTGGTGATTGGATGAATAACCAAAAATTTATTATCTCGAAGTTCAAGATAAGACAAGGCGGAATTCATACCACGCCGAAATGCCTTTACTTAGTGATCATGATTCATTATCAACATCATTATCATTAGCCTATTGACTGCTGCTACTAGCTAGGGACTAGGGGGAGGCGCACCCACCAATGATTGGTTTATGGCTGGATTTCTGCGTGGCCCATCCGTCGTTGCCTGATCCTGACTTCTCAAATCATCCAACTATTCGATGTATCACAACTTTACCGTTCTATAAATAGGTTTTAAAATAAAAACTCCTAGTAAAAGAAACGAAACTCAAGCTGCCTTACTAAATATCGAAGTTAAACGGCCAAAACAAATAAAATATTAAAAATATTTTTTTATACACAAGCTTTTATTGCTTGTTAACAATAAATAGGTACTTACGCATTTATATACCGAGAACCCCATCCGATTTAGAACAGTAGTTTATGAGATAATGACCGACAAACATACATACATACATAGAGATCAAACTGAGAATATCCTTTTTTGACGACTGTTAATAATAACTAAAAAGTTAAAAATAATTTTGGTCTGATAAGAAATATATCTATACTTTTTATTTTTTAAGCATTTAACTGCGCGATGATTAAATCTAAAGAAAATATTACTAGAAAAAATTCCAAGCGGACCAGGCAGCAGACGGGACTCGAACCCGCACCCTTCGCTGCACTGACTGTTATGCTCTCGAGTCCCGTCTGCTGCCTGGTCCGCGTGGAATTTTCTCTAGTAATATTTTGTTAAGAAATATATACTCATATTTTTTTAGGTTTTACACAATATCTTTATTTTTAGAGGCGCAAATAACTTTATGTTCAGTAGTTCTAGAACAAGAAACAACGATGTCATCACAGAACTTATGATAAGAGGAAATAGGGGCAGGTGGAAGAAGATTCCTCCTAACCCCTATGAGAACACTACGCTAGGTTACAATACCTAATAGCTTGAATTTTGGCGCGAAGGCGCATTATAGGTTTCAGAACACTACGTTACAGGTGGACAACCATTAGCACTTAAGGATATGAAAAATAGATAGTAGCCGATTGTCAGACCCACGGCATAAGCATATAAAATTTCATAAAAATCGGCCAGGCCGTTTCGAAGTAGTATGGTAACTAACTTTGTGACACGAGAATTTTATCAACATAGACAACTAGATCCTCTTATTATAAGTTCTGTGGATGTCTAGCGTCGTCTTTATTTTCATGGAATAGGTACTTAATTTTTTGGCATTATTTTATAAAGTTATTAAATCATACATGTAGAGGTAACAATAATGATGAAAAATTAAGAATTCTGCTTTGTTAGTGCAGTAAGGAGATATAACGCCCAGAAAACATAAGCGACGTGATCAGCGACAATAAAAGACTTCCTTTTGATAGCCAGTCGTTAAGATCAATTGACAAATAAATGGATCAGGCATTTGAATTTGTCAGTACTAATACAGTTAGTAAGTCTCTTAATAATAGTGTTTAAAGAAAGCAATAACGTGGAAATCTTGTTATGTAGAATTCTAGACAAGCATAAAGTTGTTTATTTTGCTAACATATATTTTATATTCCATTTAGATAAGAATCAAATTAATGTCGTGAAATTTGAATAACATTTTTTTATAAAAAAAATAAACGTTGCTTCATTGGCAGTCAAGTTGACCAGTGTTAATCTTAAGGTGTTCCTTCGAAAAAAAAACGAGCTATTTTAATCGAAAAAGTAAACAAACTTTTCAGAGTTATGGGTAAAATGTTTAATTTCATAAAATTTTGGAGATTTAATTCTGTAATTGTTTCGAAATCGAAAAAGCTTTTGTTTATTTTTGTCTGATGTATTTTTGTCTCTAGGCGAAACGAGCTAAGTACTTATGCATTTTCAAAGCGATACCTAAAAATAAAGTTAGACAAATAAATGGTTATTAATGAGTTTAAATTGTGAAATAGATAGGTTTTAATTTGGTCAACCAAAAGACTGGAACAACCGGATTCCTAGTGAGATGTCGTTTTTTATAGAGTCGACGATTTGGAAATCATTTGGTTCTGTGGTTTGGATGACTTATTTAAATACATTTGTACGTTAAATTACGAAGGAATAGTCGTTCACATTAAACCAGTTTAAATTAATGTGGTAATAAATGATTATAGTACGTATACAATTTTTCCATGCACCGTGTATGTACAATTTATTAGTTAGTTTATTTGAAAGAAATGATACTTATTATTGATGTAACAGAAGCGCTATGCATTAAAAAGGGTGAAAATGCAAGAAAGTTATAAGCTAATTTTCATAATGTAGCTATTGAAATACTCGTGTAGTGTACAACAAAGGGTAGTGAGAATTTCAATGATTGTAAATAAAATGAGCATAATGTTTTTATTGTATTTTTAATTATCTTTTAAGCATTAACTGCTAGATATTTGTATCTAAAGAAAATATTTCAGGAATAAAATCCACGCGGTCCAGACATCAGACGGTACAATGTCTTTTTATTATTAGATAATTCAGGAATTAAAATTACAGCATCCTCGATGTCATGCACCGACAATGTGTCCTATCTCCAAATCATATCCATGGTTTCTAACAAATTCTTTTATCGAAATGAAGGGAAAGTATTTTATCAAAACTTTAAAGATTTATCGTACAGATAACAAAGTTTAATAAAACTTACCAAATTGTATAATAAAAACTAAACTTTCGCAACAATCACTTTATAAAGGAACACTAAATTACGTTTTGAAGTTACAAGAAGGTATTTTCGGTTAAATACACGATAAAAAGAGAGCTTATGATAAAACAAACGGATAGTTGGGCATTCTTCGAATGTGACCACAGCCGCACAGGCTGTACCGGTTCGATTGGCCTTACTGAATATACTGCTTGTCTGTCAATGATCGTATCAAGACTCGCACGTGGAGATTTGATAGGGCTTCGGACCGGTCCCTTACATAGCGTAAGTACATAATGTGGTGTTACATATTTAAATATTCGGGTAATAATCCGGATAAGGAGTTTAATCTATATGGTTAATCTAAACGACATGGGGTCGACGTTAGGCATGAATCTTGTTTTATTCAACTTGAATGTTAGATTTGTTGAATTTAATGTGCTGTCGTTTATGCGTACTAGGGTTACATGTGCACATACGACGGAATCGTTATAAATAAAAAATATGTAAATTATCCAGGGACCAACAATATACGAAATGGGTGAAATGAAATGACCACCTAAAATGCAGTTGGTAACCTAAATATTAGGTAAGGTGCCAGTTGTATTTTTGAGGATCAAATATAACTTTTTGATGATCGTTTAAATGAACCCTACGAAATTAAAAGTGAAAGAAATCATTAGTATCTATGCCTATGCTATTTCAAGTTTACCTCTGCAGAAAAGTAGTAAAGGATATCGACATGCAATTTATTATTGCCCATGTTCGGATATTATTGGATGTCGGACCAGATATAAGGTAGGGCAGGCAAGAGAAGGGCCCCCACACCTTCGTTGCTCCAGGGCTTTCACGTCCGAAACGGTGCCGCACCACCACCTGCACTCCCGATCCGTACTATGAGGATCGTAGTCCTAGCAATGCGGGTCGGGTGACACGGTGCAGGTATATTTTCTGGTTTTTAGTGGCCCTGTTCAAGGCATTAGCTAGGGCCCTGCTCATTTCATCTGGCCCACGGACTAACTGAAGTGAGGAGGGAGGAGTCCAACAAACCATCTTCTCGCTCCCCCGGTGGTTGAAGGATGCGTAAGGCATTTTCCAGACAAAAAAAGGGCCTCCACGTCCACCTCTAAATTCTCTTGCTTGTGGGCATTTAACATTTAACATTATATCTAACCAATGCTAGCTAAATATGGCGCATCTTGCGTGTAGTGTATGCTTAGAGCACATACCAATTGGTATATGTTCTAAGAGTGTATGTGCCCAAAAAAGGAATATGTTATGTAATAAATATTTAGGCTGATAAACACAATATCCTTAAAAACGCGCTATGCGCAGCTGAATAACATCACGCAGTCGGATAAACAGGTAAAAATAACATCCATTAAGACCTAAGCAACTTTGTGACTTTAGGTTTAGAAATTAATGTCCCCACTACTGGTGGCCTTTCATCATAAACAGAATCACGTAAGGAATTTGCCACGTGGGTTCAGAATGTGTTTTCAGGTGTCATCGGTTATAGCCCTGTCCTATAGATGCAGCAGAGGTATACCATAGATCCATGAAATTAGCTATTTAACGTCATGCATAGAACATTACCGAGAGGGCATACAAATTTATAATGATTTGGCAAAGACAAATACGGGGACAGCGGGGACAAATGACTTAATATGACTAAGGGTGGGATACACTGAGGTAATTTACGTGATGTAGTATATCTATGATGTTTTAAAGTTATAAATACGCTTCTAATTTGGCAATACGAAAGTCAGGTAATTGCCAGACTTGCATTCAGTGGGGTGCGCTCTCTCGCCGCGGCTACACTTTGCTACAACGTGAAAAAGCTCTATGTGTGTTTTTAGATAGTACACAAAATACACGGGAACTATTAGACACTTCGATCAACAATTCTATAGATAACGGATTGCATACAAAATCAAAGCTAAAAACTGTATGTATGTTTATACTTATGCAGCTACATTCGATTCCCAATGAACAGAGATAAATGTTTTAAAACAGTTTAAACTGAACCTAATAACAACTATCTCAGCAAGGAATCAGGTTACAAATAATAAAATGTTATTTCGCACATACGACCTTATATCTTGTAAAATGAACTCTTGTTCCTTTTATAAATTATATCTGATACTTGAAAAAAAAGCACCGAGGGTTCCGTACAAACTCAATTTAATACCTCTACGCGTTCATGAGAAAAGAGGTAGTAACATTAAAATTTTCAAAAATATTTTTGATGTGTAACATCTTTCCTCTCGCTTTCCTGCAATTTGTGGGAGTGATTTCGTGAAATGGGACGGAAGTGTGTAACAGTAAGTCGCGAAAGCGCGAAGGTGAGGTTTTCAAATGTTACACACACATCATAGGCGACTACTGTAAGGCTCCCTAGTTGTTTTTTTTATATGATGTAACTTTCGGTTTTCGCAATTTTTCCTTTATCTGTACTATAAGATGTTACTTCATACCAAATTTCAAGATTCTAAGTTTACGGGAAGTACCCTGTAGGTTTTGATTCCAGTGTGAGTTTCGAAAATTTGCGGCATAAACGGCTGTATCTTTTGATTGCTTTGGATTAGAAGTTTGATTTTTTCCCAGCTCACGGGACAGTAGACATGAGTATTAGATAATGAATTTCAGTTTAATACCTACATGCGTTCTTGAGAAAAACGGTCTTGGCAGACGGGCAGACGGGCGGACAACAAAGTGATCCTATAAGGGTTCCGTTTTTGCTTTTGAGGTACCGAACCCAGGGCCGGATTTAGGATTGTGGAGGCCCCGGGCCACTTAGGATTTGTATGCTTGTTAACCCATCGAAATTTTGTTATCTTTTATCCTGTTGTGGAGGGCCCGGGCCACTTAGGATTTGCATGCTTGTTGACCCATCGAAATGTTGTTATTTCTCAAGCTGTTGTGGAGGCCCCTGGGCCACAGCCCCCACCTGCCCTGCCTTAAATTCGGCCCTGGAAAAGATGTTTACTAGTTGGAATTGATTTTCTTTTCCGAAGTCTCTATTGTGGGGGCCCCCCGTTTGTGGAGGCCCCGGGGCTTTCGCCCCGGTTGCCCTCCCCTAAATCCGGCAGTGACCGAACCCTAAAAACGATAGGGATGAAAAAATCCTGCCTGAAACCTGGACCGAATGGAGTGGAAACATTTGCGAATCAATAAAATGGAAGCATAGGTATTCATTTTATTAGTATCAACATTGCTATAGATGTATATGATCGATGTTAAGGTATTAAACTATTGAACTGAACTAGGTTACGGTCCGTACCTACGTGTGCTTGTGTGTGTGTGTGCTATGTGCTTGTTTTCAGTTTGACTTTCTAGAGGCCTACGATGTTGCACCATGAACTTATGTACTATTTAAGTTTAAGTCCCTTGTGTTGCACACAAAGTTTAGTAACGGAACGTAGCTATACTCGTGGCAAAAACGTCAACTTGACATTTGACACGAAGTCAGTGACATTGACAGTTGATGGTTAAGTTGGATTGTGGATGTGTCAAGTGAGTGGAGAAAAGGTATCTTTTACCATATTTTGGTGAAAAATACAGTGGAAATGGCTTCCGTGGAAGAATTGCAGAAGAAGGTGCGTGAGCTGGAGGTGAAACTCGCTGCCGCTCATGGCACATCTGATGCTGTGAGACAGAAAATCGACTTCATCTCGGCAGATGTAGTGGACTCCAACCCTTACAGGTTTTCATTTTAATACATTTCTCAATTAAAAACATAAAAATACTAAGATTTCAACTTATCTGATATAATATGTCTTACTAGCTTCCGTCCGTATCTTCCGCGTAACTTTAGATTTTATAATATTAAGAGGATGTGAGTTTGGTATGTTTGTGTATTTGTATGTTTAATATTCAATCACGCAAAACCGGCTGAACGGATTTGGATGAAGTTTGCTGCATATATAGTTTAACATATGGATTGAGACAAGATACTTTTTATCCTAGTACAATGTTAGGTTCCTGAGGGTTTCTCAACAAAACTAAGTTGTGGGCGCTGTTAATTTTAGTTTTTTTGAGAATCTCTCATTAAGCTAACATTTTCCAGATTGGATAATAGGATGTGAACAGCCCAACTAGTTGTAAAAGCTTTGGCACTATATTTCTAAAAAATATATAATATAACTCAATTGAATAGGATTCCATTAAATTTTTAAATATATTTCAGTCGATTGATGGCTCTCCAAAGGATGGGCATAGTGGATAATTATCAGAAAATCCGTAATTTTACTGTGGCAGTTGTTGGCGTTGGTGGAGTGGGAAGTGTAACTGCTGAGATGTTGACAAGGTGTGGAATAGGAAAGGTAGGTAAAAGCTTTCGAACTTGTTTCATAATATCACAATTAAGATGTAACATGTAACTGCAGGTTTGTCGTTTTACTATTGGCTCTAAGTTTATTTATGCTAATTTGTAAGTCAATAATTCTACTTCACAAAATTATTAATCCTTAAGGAAATTTAAGACTACTTTTTATAATATTTCATATTCATTTGTTAAAATGCAATATATGAATCTTGTTGGTTTATTTTTAGTAATTGCAGTTTTCTATCATTAACTACAGGTAGGTCCAATTACCCGAAACTGGCAAATTTCTCCAAATAGAGCTTTATATTGTTTGATATGAAAGTCTCAATAGTAGAAGATAATTTTACAATTTGTGGTAATATGATGTGTGACTGTCTGCACATCAATAAATTTTTTATATATATATTATATACTTGGTACAATGTTTTTAGCTCATCCTATTTGATTATGACAAAGTTGAGTTGGCGAATATGAACCGATTATTTTTCCAACCACACCAAGCTGGCCTAAGTAAAGTTGATGCTGCTGCTGCTACTCTGTTCCATATAAATCCTGATGTTGCTACAGAAAGATATAATTATAACATAACTACTCTCGAAAACTTCCAGAATTTTTGTGATGTTATTAGGTATGCATAACAATTTTAATTTACCACAATTTTCAATCTTACTGTCTAATAAAACATCTACCAGAGACTCTAACTATAAATATTTTTTTATACATCCTGGCAAACTTCTTGAGCAGTGACCATAGACGAGGAAGCCTCAGTAGTAATTTTAAATACAAAATCTTTACGTTATGTTTATTTGTCTGTGGTTTTTTGCTCAAGAAGTTTTCCGTTGCCTATACCAAGTTGCAGCAAATTAAATTAAATTCTAATATAATTAAATTGTACTGTCTAACCTAGTACTGGCGGTATAAATGGAGGCCCAGTTGATCTAGTATTGAGTTGTGTTGATAACTTTGAGGCGCGCATGGCCATTAACACTGCTTGCAATGAACTAAATCAAAAGTGGTTTGAGTCTGGGGTCAGTGAAAATGCTGTGTCTGGGCACATACAATTCATTGTTCCTGGAGAGACGGCATGTTTTGCAGTAAGTTATTTTTACAAATGGTAATATTGATCCCTTACTTTGTTGATTATATTTTTTTTACTGTTATTCTTTTATTTTTTAAGCATTTAACTGCTGGATGTTTAAATATAAAAAAAAAATACTAAAAAAAATCCACGTGGTCTAGGCCACAGACGGGATTCGAACCCGCTATCCGGGCGGATGCACCATTTTGCAACCGCGGCCCTAATTGTCCGTATCGAATTCTTTTTAGTATTTCTGAGGCTGCAAGGCAGTCATCTCTTTGCATTGTAGATACTAAGGTAATTGTAGGTATTGACATTGTGGGTTACCTATTAATAACGCAGACTCACACTCTATTCATTTTGGGACATCTCTTTAAGATTGTGAATATAACGTATCATCATAATATTGAATTAGTTTAATTCATAATATTTTATTACTAGGTCTCCACCTTTGATATTGTATACTGACGACGGTATTTAACATTAATGTTACTTATTTGATTTGTTTTTTAAGTTTAAGAATTGGTAAAAGTATATCAACATACAATCATACATATGCAAGTGGCTTTTTACTATAAGTATTTCAGAAACAAAAATCCAATATAAATCTTGATTCATATCTTACAACTTTCAGTATAGCAATTATTTTTTACAGTGCGCACCTCCCCTTGTGGTTGCATCTAATATAGACGAAAAGACACTGAAAAGAGAAGGAGTCTGTGCAGCGAGTCTGCCAACCACCATGGGCATTGTCGCTGGATTCTTAGGTATGTGAAGTTCCTACGTATTAGGTTAACAAATTTAAAAACTTCTCCAATAGATTTGAGCAGTCTTAAAAAAAAAGCAACCAGCGGGTAATTTTGAAGCTAGCAAAATTGAGTTCTGTGACCCATTGCTAAAGTATGTTTGTGAAAGCAAAATGCGATTATATGGCCATTTTTGGGATCAAGCAGAATCAGAATTTAACACAGATTCATAAAATAAATTTTTGCTTGCTTCAAAAATATATTAGTGCAAATAGATAGATTGAAAAACTTTATTTATATGCACAAACTGAATTATATCACATTTCCATATTGACACACTTGCAGAATCTTGTTTTATATATAAAAACTTATAATTTTTATTGCAGCCCAAAATACACTAAAGTACCTTCTCGGCTTTGGTACAGTGACACATTATTTAGGATATAATGCGCTAACTGATTTCTTTCCAATTATGGGCTTAAAGGTATGTATGAACTTTATCACAAGTAAGTATTTCTGTACCAAGTAGTAGCGATCCATTGTATTTTTGTTATTATTATTTTTGCATAGATGTTCGAACTAACCTAATTCAAATTGAGAATAAAGTATTGCGCTACTATTCAGACATTAGGAAATTTATGTTAAACATCATATTGTTTTTACTACTACACATATATACAGCGTCATATTTGTTCTACAGCCCAATCCCCAATGCGATGACAGTTATTGTCGAAAAAGGCAAGAGGAGGTGCAAGCGCGACCTCCCCCTGTGGAGGTGGCCACCGAAGTCACAGAAGACAATACTCCTGTGCATGCAGACAATGAGTGGGGTCTGTATTCACCATAATACCAGTAACCCTTAGATTAAAACAAAAAGCGAAGATATGGCACTCGCGGCTCAAAAGTGATCCACTTAAATTGTGATGCATGACCAAAATTCGCTTTAGGCACAATTAGACATTCAAACACGCTGCATCTGCACTTAATATAACAATATTGCGTATATTCTGTGTTATAAACCGTTTGTGTGAAGATAGTATACTGTGTAGATAATATTATCGTGGTTGAAGCGTACAGTTCTGTCTCGCTCGCTCGATTGAATGTTTAGTTACAGACAAGTGCGTGTGTGAGTTGCTTTATGTAGTTGAGTCTGAGCATATTTTATTTGATGCTACCATATCTTCCCTTTTTGTTTTATTGTTAGCAATAACCCAATGATGTTTGAAAGTTATATTAAAAGTTGACGTATATATACGTCCTACACGCTTCTAATTTGGCAATGTGAAAATCAGGAAATTGCCCGACTTGCATTCAGGCGGGCACGTTCTCTCGCCGCGACTACACTTCGCTACAACGTGTAAATATTTTACGTTTTTCCAGACAAAAAGCTATATGTGTGTTTTTAGATAGTACACAAATTACACGAGAACTATAAGGGGCAAGAAAAACGTGTAATTTCATTCGTAAGGGATTAATGTTGAAATATTTAGTGACTACTTATTTTGACAGTTGCTGACACCGTTGACACGTGGAGGCTAAAGAGCGAGATGTAATGTGCTATATGCATTAGAGTGAAAGAGACTACTTTAGTAGGCTCTTTTGGCGGCTGTTGCCAACGAAAGTTGGAGTGAGGACTATTTGTGCCATTTTAAAATGCAGTAATGTTGGCGTATAAATAACCTGTCTATATATTATACGTCATTGTAATAACCCAATAAACATTAAAGATCATATCTGATGTTTTCAGGGTAACAATTTGTCTTAATTAATAATGACTGGGTAACTACTACGTTAATCTTAAAGTAAACAGTTGGAAGTAGGGATATGATATTCATTGAAAACAAGTGGGTGTCGCCGACTTTGTCTGCGTGGATAAATTGGTTTCCCATACAAACTTCCACTCCCTTTTTACCCCTTTAACTCTCTTACTATCAGTATACGATATTTCATCTCAATCGATTTAAGCGTGAAGAGGCAACAGACAGACACACTTTCGGGTTTATAATATTAGTATGGATGGCTGTAACTTTACAACCTTTAATTTCGTTCCTTTATTTTCCAGGTATCTGCTTAGTAGACGAAAATGTGCCAGAAGAAGACACTACGAATTTGAATCTCGCTGAAGGTGTTCACGTACGTAATGAATTAAAATTTATATAATGTTACATTACCAATATCGCGGATTTCCTGTTTGAATTGGAGCGTCAACCGTCTGAGGCTGCGTTCACACCAGAGAATTGAGGGGATGCATAGTGAGGGACGCTACCACAGACACTATCATCATCGTCAAGCTATTAATGTCCCCACTGCTGGGGCACATCTTTCCTATTCGTGAAATAGGGAGATTGGACCATGACACACAACACGGGCCCAATGCAGATTGGTGGGTTTGAGAGGTTACTTCGATAAAGCCGCGCATCATCCGAACCCCTTAATAGTCAAAGCCTATAGTTATCACGTCATGTCTGCTCTCCCGTCCTCCAATCGCAGGTCCCTCCAATTCCGTAGGCACGTCTTAGAGTACCTCGACGACGAAATCACCCTCGCCAACGCGCCTCCGACTCCTCTCACACAGACCACAAACACTACACAGCTAGCATACTTGTACACTACCTTAGCATTAGAGAAACACCACCCCCGCACCATATCCTAGATAAGAGTGCGATGACCCGGTCTACACACGACACGCTATACCAGGTACAGGTACGTGCCTGGGAGTTTTTCCCCGCCCCCCACGACAACGGTTAACTAGAGCCGAGGTCCGAGTCTCAGAGACGCCCTCTAGTTGAGCCGACCCCCTCAGCTTCGAGTGGTCTAGAGGCTCCAGACTGAGAGGAGACTCCCCCCGTGAGAAGATGTCATTCCCCTGGAATACCTCTAGAGGCAGGCCAATTCTCGGCTTTAGGTCCCCTAAGGATCTCGCCGTCCCCAAACACGGTGACGCTGTAAAATCATCTGCGACCAACAGCATACACACACAAAAAAAAGGTGGGTGCTAACGACTGCAGATGCAGCCGGGACCAACTGCTTAACGTGCCTTCCAAAGCACGGAGGAGCACGAGATAGTAAATTTTTGGTCACCCATCCAATGACCGACCATTGCGAAAGTTGCTTAGCTTCATCGATCGCAGCCGAACGCGTTAACCACTCGCGCCATCAAGCTTCTTTACCACAGATATCGATTGAAATAGAATACGCAAGTGCATGTACTTCCCGTGCCAAAAACATACCAATGGTTTTCCTTTAACGCTAATTTATTTCATCGCGTCACCGTTATCGGCACCGGTCTTCAAAAAATAAAAATATTCAAGTATGTAATTTTATTAAAATGGGTGGCCGGGGCACATGCTTTTTCACCTTAGATTAAATCAAATAGGAAAGGTACGGTTCTCGCTTATCAAAAGTGTACCGCTTTAGTCACAATTTAACAAGCAAACACGCCGCCAGTGCACTCATAAAACAATATTGCGGATATTATGTGTTAAAAAGATAAAACAGTGCCATCAATACTTTTGAAAAGTACATAAATAGTTCAAGAAAATAATAACAAATACCGCGGCATCTCTTCCTTTCGTGATATTTTAAAATCATTTATCAACCCATGCTTTAAAGATTCTGAAACAGTTAGCTTATTGTCAACAGTATATTATTGGTATCGCAAGCGCCTATAGGCTATGGTGCCATACATTTTTTTTCCAACTTTTTATAATATTTTTTTATATTATAATATTTTATTTTATATTATAATATAAATAAAAATTTCATTACAGTTGGCATACACAGTCCCAATAGACAACGAAACGCCAGAATCGAGTACGGGTGGAGCTGTCGCCGCATCAGAATTGTCACTGGAGGAACTCATGAAGCAAATGAAGTCCATGTAAACATATCGAGCCAATAAGTATGCAGGCAAACCATGCCATATGTGTTTTAATTACTTAAAAAACACGCTATCTGCTACGAGTATAGATAGTAAGTATAAATTACCTATCTGTTTAGTTTCTTGGCATCCTGAAGCTCTCATTTTCATACAGTTTTTGTTTTATTTTATTTTTTTAATGCGATTTATGTCTATGGTGAAAAAGAAATATCGTTGTTTATTTAATTAATTTAAATGCAAATAAGACTAATTAAACAACTAATTGCATTCGGGTTTTTATTCACAAAATTACCAACTTAAATTTAGTTTATGAATAAATACACAAAATTCAATAGGCTTTCTTTTACAAACTTAAGAGATTTATCTATTGGTTGTATAAAATATTTATTTAGTATTTGTATTAAGAAAAATGCATATCATGTATGCGGCAAATTATTACGTCACAAAATATTATTTGCCTAAAGTAATCTAAACATACCATCTTCGCTTTGTGTCAACTTCATTCCAGCGTATTGAGACGAGTGGAAGTGAACTTTTTGTAAAAATTATGATATTAAGCTCAATTCTGCTGCACATTTTGTAAATTTCTATTTATTTTAAAGAATAAAATTCGCTCTTGCAGGCACCTTACCCTCAAAACTATTTTTCACCATTCTGGGTTCGTTTCCAAATCTTTCGCCATCACAGCTATACGTCTTTGGAATGCTTTGCCACTGAATATTCGCAGTGCACGTAATAAGTTACATTTCAAAAAACTAGTGCGTGCTCACTATCTGTCAACCTAATTTTCCTCTTAATCTGTAGTCATCTATAATATCATCATATTTTTTTTTAATTTAGTGTATGTATGTTTATTTATGTATTTATTTATAAATATATATATTTATGATTATATATGTGTATCAGTATATGTGTAGGTATAATATGTATTTTATATTTATTGTTGTTATAGAATAGTTAGGTATAATAGATATCTTTTTATGATCCACACTAAGTATCTCATATTCTATCGCCATTACATTGCATCTCCTACACCTTTACTGGTTGACTGGTAGAGAATGCCTATGGCATTAAGTCCGCCATTTACTGTTTTTATGGTAATAAAGAATAAATAAATAAATAAAAAAATAAATAAAAGGATAGAATTTATGACATTTAGGGTAATCATTTTATTATGATTTTTCATCAATGTTAAATTTAAAATTTGTGAAGTTTGTTTATTATTTTCTAAATTACTATATATTATAAATATTATAATCATCTTCAGTCTATTAATATCTCCACTGCAGGTGCGCAGACCTTTTTTATGGATGGAATAGGGAGACTGGGCCGTGACCCACCACGCGGGCCCAGTGCGGTTTGGTGGAGAGATGTCGTTATACATCTTATCTTATTTTTATATAGAATCTATGCAACAGAATCGAGCTTAGGTAAACTATACTTAAGTGCAAGTTGTGATTATTTTTTATAATATATTTTAAATTTTATACAAGATTATTTATTGCTGTAATATGGTAAGACTACTGATTATACAAGTGTAACATGTATTAAACGAATTTTATCAATATTAAATGTCTTCTGAAAGGAGTTCGTTTTTTATTATTTCGATGAAACTTTTCAGTTTGGTAGTTATTTTCTTATTTTCTGGCGGCAACGTATTGCTCTGTAGGAATAATAAATTATTAAGTAAAGGATAGTATTTTTTCTGACTAGGTTCTTTAAATAGTTGCAGATAAAAAGGTTTTACTGGACTGCAATAGATTGTATTTTTTATTCTTATTTCAGTGATTAAATTTATTAATATAAGTTGTTTCTGGTGTTGTGAAAATAGTAAAAAAGGTGATGATAATATAATAGGTGTAAACCCAACTTTAGCGTCTCGTCAAAGTATGACTGTAGAAAAATCAGCTGTTTCATACATTTCGGTCGATTAGCTGATGCATTTTTGTATGAAACAGCAGATTTTTATTCACGATTTCAGCGTTGGTCTTATAATAAAAGTTGTTCCTCTTGATGGGTAGAAACACCCCTTAGAGGTTGTTATTGGTTTATTAAAATTAACCCTGTATATTACGATTATGTATATGTAGTATAATGGCGGTATGTATGAAAACAACACGTTGGGCGCCAACCTTCATCGCTTCTAATACTTGTCGAGCGCGTTGAACCACATTAGGTGCTACGCCGCTGGCTTCAGCAACTTGATGACCGAAACTACAATCCGCGCTGCCTTCCACCAAACGGAATAGGAACACTGGCTCGCCGTCTTGGAGGGTGTGATCGAACCTCTTCAAAATGGAGGCGAACTCGTTAAATTAATAAACAGGCATAAGCAAGATTCGGCTGCGATCTTTTATACAACGTGTAACACAAATAATGCACACCCTAAAAGTAGTTTAGTTTCTATAAAAGAAAGCGTCTAAAAATATTATCCAAAAAAATAATTGACTTTAATTTAACCTTTTTAAACCAAATAATATATGAGTCATGTTAACCATTACAGTTTATAATTTTCCTAACATTGAGACATCACTGGTTATACTGATTAAATAAAAATTACTGAAATAATACAGAGGGTTCTGCTAAATACAGTAAGCAGTTCTCACGAATCATAATAGGTTAGTTAGACAGTTGTAATTTCCAAAGAGACACTGTTAGATGTAGTTATACAATATGTTTCTTACCATAAATCTGACTATAGGAGTGTTCACAATAAACTTTGGCACATCCAAGAAGTGTGTGGATAGAAACAGGTGGGGACATTCTTCTCCTCGGAACAGGAATGTGTTAAGGCACGCGGCGAGAAGGGACAGGCCGTCGACCTCAGACGTGCCCTTGCCGAATTCGTCGATTATTATCAAGGAGTCTGGTGTGGACTCCTGTAGAGCCAGCGCCATCTAGGGGATATTAATACTAATTTATATCTCTTTATTTACTCTTTACAAAGATTGTTAACAATAACGTGGGTGAGTTAGCAATGGTTTTCCTTTATTTTGTTTTCATAAGGTCGTACTCTTTTGAACTTAAACTGAGGTATAAGGTAAACAAACCATAAATATGTCGAACTTCATACGCATATAAATTCATAATTAAAAATATCTAAAACTGTAGCTATTCCCAAACTTTAAACGTTTTGATGCATTTTAATACTACTAAATTAAAGGGTAGTGATAAAGTAAACAATTTCCGTTGAAACATGATTTTCAAGTCAATAAGGAATGCAGACGTACGCACGGCGACACATTCAGTGGAATGGATCCTGGAGTTGGTGTGAATGCTAGTTCATAAGAGCCGTTTATATCGAGATATTACATGCCGCAAGTCAGTGAGAAATGCAGGCATATGCGCGGCGACACACTAGATGGAATGGAACCTGGCGTAGACGTGAGTGCTAGTTTATAAGAGCTGTTCGTATCGAGATATTACCTGCCGCAAGTCAATGAGGAATGCAGACATATGCGCAACGACGCACTCGGTGGAATGGATCCTGGAGTAGATGTGAATGCTAGTTTATAAGAGCTGTTCATATCGATATATTACGTGCCGCAAGGCAATAAGGAATGCAAACATATGCGCGGGGATGCACTCAGTGGAATGGATCCTGGAGTAGATGTGAATGCTAGTTTATAGGAGCTGATCATATCGAAATATTACCTGCCGCAAGTCAATGAGGAATGCAGACATATGCGTGGCGACGCACTCAGTGGAATGGATCCTGAAGTTGATGTGAATGCTAGTTTATAAAAGCTGTTCATATCGATATATTACGTGCCGCAAGTCAATAAGGAATGCAGACATATGCGTGGCGACGCACTCAGTGGAATGGATCCTGAAGTTGATGTGAATGCTAGTTTATAAGAGCTGTTCATATAGATATATTACGTGCCGCAAGTCAATAAGGAATGCAGACATATGCGCAGCGATGCACTCAGTGGAATGGATCCTGGAGTAGATGTGAATGCTAGTTTATAAGAGCTGTTCATATAGAAATATTACCTGCCGCAAGTCAATGAGGAATGCAGACATATGCGTGGCGACGCACTCAGTGGAATGGATCCTGGAGTAGATGTGAGAGATGACGCCGATTGTGGCTCGCTCGGCTGGTACGAAGCTGCCTATGTGAGCCAAGTATACTATCAAACCTGCCAAGAAGAATATAAATTTTTGTCGTTTGACCAACCAATATACCGTTAATTCCCAGTCCCGGGGATTGCCACCATTTGCAAATATGCATAAAGTTCCCATATGCTTCCGGTGACAAACTCCGCGGTGTTGAATAAAGGTCTAAGAAAAGTCTTAACTTAATATACCTATGCAATTTATTATGCCCGGAATTCGAAATCTACGCGCGCCAAAAAGATCATTTGTTCGCAAATCTACGCAAACATAGATATTAGCTATAAGAAGCTGTTTTTATCTATTCAGCTCTATTATGAAACGCAAAAATATTTTCGGGTGCTAACCTGTCCGTAATTAGCAAACAGTTTATGTTTTTCTTTCACTTACAGACTTAAAGGAAGGACATTTTATGACACGGGAACTAAATTATGATACTCGTAGACTTCAAGACAAATCAACTGGAAACAAACACCAATAGTGGAACAATATTGGAGGGACCACGAGTCAGAGGCCCAAGCACGAACTTTGGCAGCTCCGTAATCGTATCGTAAAATTTTGTATGGAAGGAACCAGTTTGTTCTTACGTCCGGTAGGGGCGATGCTTAGTTTTCAAAGAAACTTTGACGATGCGATACGATTACGGAGCTGTCAAAATTCGTGCATGGACCTCAGGACTTACCTATTTGCTTCATGTACACCGACTTGCCGCTAGAATTGGCTCCAGTTAGAATCTTCACATAACCAGATTCCAGGCTACTGTTTGTATCATTCGGTACGAAGGAATCGCACGTCGCTGCAGCTAATGGATGACGGCCTTGTTTGATATTCAGCACCTTCTCACGAACTAGTGTAGGGCGCACAAAGCCGAACTCTTTGGAAACCTTCGACATTGCTATAAGGCTGACGAGAGGAAAGGTAAAAAAAGGATACAGGTCGCGGCACGTAACTCTAGCGCTGAACAAAACGCGGAGGAGATAGTTGAGCATGAGTACGACTGCAGAGCTATTCGGCGCAACGCACGCCCACCCGCGCACCTCGTTTCCCCCCAAGACATCTTAATTTTTACTTCTGCGCAATAAAGGTCAGCGCTAGAGTTTCGTAACGCGACTTATAGTTGGGTATAAGGTAGGTACCTAAGATTTTTTCTCGTTGCTGATGAGTAGCTGGATGGATCAATGATTAATTTTATTAGCGCGTCCGGTCTGCGATAAGAGAAAAAAGTAACTCTTGCAATGACTTGTGATTGGATCGATAATCAATAAAAAAGTATAAGGTATTCCGCTTTCCCGCGTTTCAGGCACACCATCTGCAGTTCCCAATCCTCACTGGGTCCACGTGGTGGGCGAATTAATCCCCATTCCCTACGGCTTTTATTGGGCAACTCAAATTTTCCTCTTTAGGAATCTTCTACAAAGTATTAGAAAACTTTTAAAAAGATGAATGAAATCAGCAAAGTCTTTCTCAAGATAAGGCGCGAGTGCGCGACTAAGAGAAATAGGGATTATTTTTTGTATATAAAGAAAATAAGCAGCATGACGGTAAGTATTCTTATATCAATTTGCTATACAACCAAATCACTAATTTGGTAGAGATAATACAAACCAGTCCAGTTCAGCACATTTATCGACGAGGCCGGCAAGAGTGTCTAAATTCTGAAGCACTATAGCGGTCAGGCGCATCATGATTCGGGTCTCGTGGGCAACGATTTCAGGATAAGCGTCACCTATCATTACGTCAAGTTCTGCAAAATTTATAAAAATGTACTGCTCATTAGTAGGTACAGTAAGTAGATTACTACACTTGTTGTTATTTCATAATTGAATATCTTAGGATACTTAAGTTTAAGCCTGCGCTCTTAAAGTCATATTAATTTAAAAAAATCACCTTAATCACCCGGCACCCGACCAGCACCGCTTCAACTCAAGCGGTTGATATTCTTTGTATGGATTTTATCGAGATGTGCTCACACTACACCAACTCTGCCAACACCGCGATGACCACCCGCAGCCCGCATTCTCCCCGTGAGTAGTCTCGGCACGTAACTCTAGCGCTGAACAATACGCGGAGGGGATAGCTGCGCATGAGTACGACTGGAGAGACAATCGGCGCAACGCACGCCCACCCGCGCACCTCGTTCCCCCCAAGACATATTTTTTACTTCTGCGAAATAACGATCAGCGCTAGAGTTTCGTGCCGCGACTGTGACACCTTTAGTTCCGGCGGTGGTGCAAAGCGCTAGTGTGCTAGACCCAATCTTAAACCGGGCTTCACACTACCCAATTTTAAGGGCCTGATCGCAAGGGTGGTGTGGCCCTTTAGCTACGGTGGTAGCAATTTTACACCGCGCCGATAGACCCGATCTAGGGCGATCGGCGCGGCGCCCTTATTCCCTAACTCACATTACACCACCCTTAGTCAGGGTAAGGGTCCCTTAAAATTAGGAAGTGTAAAACGGGCTTCAGGCGCCATATTGCCTTACATGACGTCACGTTTTGAAATATGCCATGACAATTGACTTAGCTTGAGTTGAGTTACAAATTGAACCAAATTGCTGGTTGACAACGAGGCGTCCACTCGTGGCCCACCCGACGTAAGCTAGTAGACAGCGCGGCGTCCACGAATGAATGGCGCGCCGAGGCGGTGCTGGACGGGTGGTCTTAGATTAAAATAAAAAGGGTAGATACGGCACTAGCCCCACAAAAGTGATCCGTATAAATTGTGGCCCAAGGCCACAATCGCTTTAGTCACAACTTGACATGCAAATGACGTACATGTGAACGTCAGAAAGAAATATTGCTAAAATTTTGTGATTATATGATAAAACAATGCCTAAGTGTGTTTTTAAAAAGTGTTCAAATTGCTCAAGAACTAAAAATAAAACCGACGGCATCACTTTTCATTCGTAAGTACTATAAAATATATTTTTTCATAAAAAATGCTGTTTGTTTTGAATCTTATTCGGTATTTGTTATTAAGAAAAAGACAACAACACTTGTAAACGTTTGTCTGAGGGAGAAAAAGCATAAGCGCGAATATTTGCCATTGTAATGTCAGTCGAGAGTATAAATTGGGTAGAGTCAACAAAAAAAATATTTCGTATTTTTTTTTAAATATTAATTTATGTAGGTAAAAAATATGCTGCATTTATTAAACTCATTACATTTTGGTTTCTTCGAAGAGGTTTATTTATTTTTTCAGACATTTTAGCTTTAATATACTCTGTACTTACAGAAATGGCGTTTTTATTCTTTGCAGGGTTTAAAATTGTTTTTGTAAACTTCTTCTTCTTCCAGTGCCTCTTCAATCCTGAAGGTTGGCCGTTAGCTTCCTGTATGTAGTTCTATTAGCAGCCAGCCGGAACAACTGTTCGACGGAGGCAATACCGGTCCACTCCCGGATATTCCGGAGCCATGACTTTTTTCTTCGCCCAGCACGTTTCTTTCCGTCCACTTTGCCCATCATTATCAACTGCAGCATATCGTTGAAAATTGTTGACGGTATCGTATAAAAAACCTACTTTTAGTAGGTACGCTTGTTAACTGATTTTTTATCAGGTGATATAATAATGTGTGTCTGATTTTAATTTTTAAATCATAACTGATTGAACAATCAGTTTATGATTGGTATTAAAATATAATAAGTGTAAAGTTTCTAGTAAAAATTGTATCTCGATTAGATTCTTTTAAACACTGAATACAATAAAAATGACCACATCCAGCAGTATAAGATACCTTAAAAAAAATGTTGACGTTATCATGTAAAAAACCTACTTTTAGTAGGTATACTTGTAAACAGTTTCATTCCCTCAGCTTTTCAAAGTAGATTGAAAATTGCTCAATGTGGATTTTTTTTATTGAATTTTAATAAAAAACGTATATTTAATAAAAAATACTTTTATTTTTTTCTATGACGCTACTCTGTAGTGACGACGAGTACTGGTCGCGTGATTGGTCGGTAGCGCAGTGACGCGGATCTCGCCGTCTCGTTCGCGCTGCAGTTGAAAGTTAACGTGCTGTTTCGTTCGGGTCGGTATTGCAGTGAAGCTGATCTCGCCGTCCCGTTCGCGCTGCCGTTGAAACTTATATTGCTGTTTCGTTCGTTCGATTGTATCTTTACAAACAGGTGGATGTGTGAGAGTTGCATATGTAGTAAAGTGGGATCAGTTTTTGTTTGATGCAAGTAAGAGCGTACCGTATCTACCCTTTTTGTTTTAATCTAAGCGGGTGGTTAAGGTAAGCTATGACCTTAAAGCTGGCTACTGACATCCCTGCCGCAGTGACAATCTAGGGTGTAAGAGTGAGGAAGACCCTTAATTGCCTCCAAAGTTGTGTTGTGTGTAGGCAAACAGGAGAAATTTTCTAAATTGGCCCTGCGGCAGGGCGGCAGGGTCGCGAAACCACTTTTGGTTCTTAGATAGTCCCTGCCACCCCGCACGTTGCTGCGTGTGTAGCGCGATCAGGGCAATTTCTAAATCAGTTGGTAAGTAACTGTCACACGGAGCGCACGTATTTGGATCAAGATGGTGGCAAATCATAACGAGCATGAAGTTTGATCTCGAGTGATAGAAGTATACATATAAAGACAGACCCCACATGTGGAATAAAAAACACAAACATTATTTATTTACAATACATTTTTTTTCTGTTGCCCAATATTTTCTTTTTTGCGCTAACACCATAGAAATAGCAAATGCTATACCTACCGATCTTTTGATTTTTTGATATACTCGTATACTGGGGCCATTATCAACGCGTGTGTTAAGCTTAACTTATACCCGAACACTGAATAGCAGGCATGTGTGTAGAGACAAGCCGATATTGCCCCGACCGCCGCCGCGCCGTGCGCCCTAGATTGGCCCTGTGGCAGGGATGTCAGTAGCCCGCTTAACTGTGACTAAAGATATCTTGAATACTTATCTCTTTTATTCCGTAAGCTTTAAGGAAGCAAGAATATTTATAGCTTACTTATTTATTTAGCGAGAAGTAGTTAATAAGTCTAGAATAAGAAATTCAAATACTTTAAGTAACAAACAAAAATAGAACACATACCTTCGCAACCTTTGCTCTTGTAGTGAATGTAGTCGTTATTTAGAAACTGCAATTAGAATTATTATAAAGTAAGTTTTATCTTCAATTTTATTATAGGTTAATACTATTTTAAACTAAAATTAGTATGAGTTTCAATTAGTATTGTTTGACAACGATTGTTTTCCCAGATACATATAAAATCTTCAAAAAGTCGAGATTGCAAAATTATTTTTGTTCTTATAACTTGCAGTAGAATACCGACTGCTTCGACGACAAAACGGCGTACGTCGTCGTCAGAATTAATATTGAGTAAATACAAAAACTTAATAATACTACATACATACGATCACGGCATACGATATTTTAAAATAGCGTAGAGTTCACACCAATTAATAAGTTTTTGCACAATCACCATGAACTTCAATCCGGGCAGATCCTTCTGGTCTGGCGCCATGTCCGGCCAGGCCTTCACTCCGAGCAAGTAGCCGAGGTGCGGCATGTACAGCATGGTGCACTCCTCGATGAACGCCGGCAGCCGCTCCAATTCTACCTTTGCAGTTTCCGACATCAACCCATGGAGGCTAGCCATCGTTTGTTTCTCTTCGTTGGAGGGGTTTACAAAAATAAAACTTTTAGGAAAATGGTTCAGTTTTCATGAAGATATACCACGCTTATTTTACGTTAAGTGATTTATCAATAAAACACTTTTATAACATAACGAATATTTAGCGCGATTTATTGTTTTTAGGGTTCCGAAGTCCCGCAAGGAACCCGTATAGTTTCGTCATGTCCGTCTGTCTTTTGCTTAAAGACTATTAGCACTATAGCGCTGTAATTTTGTTGCGATGTGTATTTCCATCCCGCCGACAAAATGGTAGAATTAAAATTTTGAAAAATATATTTTTTTAGGGTAGGTACATATAAACTGGGGATGGTTTTTTTTCATTGTTTACCCCATTGTGGGGGGTATCGTTGAATAGGTCCTTTAAAATAATTTAGGTGTTTCTAAGACTATTTTCAAATTTACAGATCCGTTTGCGAAATATTGAACTTTAAAATGCTAATTTTTGTGGGAGTACTGTGTCGCCCCCTTCAAAAAACTAAACTATTGCCTTGAAAAACCTGGAAAAATTCACGATATCGTGCTTTTAATGAACTTTTAAGGAAAACTATAGCAGCTAAGATAGATTTGTTACTATATTAATTGATAATAAGAGTTAGCGGCTCAGATATTAATTGGGTTTTCTAATTTCCGATATAAAAATTAAAGACTCCTGCTCAAATATATTGCGGTACCTACAGGCAACGGAACCCTACACTGCGCGTGGCACGTTACGTACTTGGTCGGTTTTTTTATATTATTCGTAATTAGTGATGTAAAATTAAAAAAAAACTCAATAAACTCTAAAGGCAAGCTTTTCTAAATTTGTTTTTTTTTAATTGTCCTCTACGAAATTGATGCGCGAGGATCTGACAACGGAGTTGCCTTTTATTAAATGTTATATTTTCTAGTTGTAAAAATATAATAACTCGATCATCATACTAATGCTTAAAGAGTGTTTTATCAAAAATATCATGATTATCATTAACCTGTATTCGTTTATATCAATAACCTTCCATGTCTATATAGTCCAGGATAAAAAATAAATAAAACCATACATATTTACTTCTATCAAGTTCCGGGTCTACTCCGGCTTTGACGGTGAATTTCCCTTCGGATTTGGTGAGATCAAAATCAATAACTCTGTTCATGTAAACCGCCATCTGAAAAATTGCGAACAATTATATCACCAGCAATTGAGTATTTTCCATTTCTTATATCTGGGAAACAAACGTGAGGCTATCCTGTGATCATTATCATAAGATACAGGTACCTACATAAATCTGAGGGTATAGGACTTTAACATTGTATGTTTGTTTAGGGCAAATGGTCCACGAATGAATTTGAATTTAACGAGCGCGCCCGCTAAGTATGTTATTATTTCTTTTTATTTAATTTTATATTAGATTTGTTTCAGTTTGATTATTACAGTTTATTTTTATTACTCTAAAATTTAGTTATTTAGTGAGTAAATAGTGGTCCGTGCTTAAAAAAATGTAAAAGTGGTCCCTGACCAATAAAACGTTGGGAACCCCTGGTTCAGGGTCTAGAAGTGCCTTAGTTTTATTTATATTTATAACTTTTCATTTTTCCCTATTTATGTGACAAATCAAGCTCGTGTCCCGTCTGGTTGATTGTTTGTTAGCAGCTACCATAGCATAAAGACCACAATATAGACGATTGTAATGCCAGAGAACACCTAACTCAATTGTTGCATCCCTTGACCCTAAAACCTCTTGTTCTGGATCAACAACACACACTTTGACAGAATATAAATATTTCGGTTTACGGTACGGTTCGGTAAGTATGATATAGTATAAGGTGCGAATGCCTCTAGTGATTTTCTATACGGATTATATGGTGGTATCCCCCACCATATCATCCTCATAGAAAATCACTAGTCTTCGTCCATGAAGACTAATGTGCGCGTGTTTCTACCCCAACTTCTTTTCTTGCATCGACATTTTAAATTCATTTCATTAATAACGCGAATCTCTTATCTATTAGACAAGTCCGTCCGTCCGTCCGTCCGTGGTGCTGTTTCAGCGGCCAAACCGTAAGAGATAGATAAAGAGAATGTTTAAGTTATAAGTTAAGAATAGTCTGATAAGACTACAAACCGGATTTGAGTAACTTAGCACTTCCGGTTTACGAGAAATCACGTGATTTCTATTTCAAACGAAACCACACAAAATCTCCGAAGTTCTCAATTAATTAAATACATTTTATTTTTATTTTTTTTGGTGAACATTTGGTTCACTGGTTTGCTAGTTGTATCATATTTCACCAAGTGCGCTTCAATTTGAGCCCACAAACAGCTGTTTCTGGTAAGTTTAGCTAGAACTGTTTTGAAAATATTGTGTATGATTGACAATTCCGTTGGTTTCTTTTACCTCGTACAGTTTCGTATTATCACTGGAAGCCAGTTGCTCTAAAAATTTACTGTTCTGTGCTGCACTCTCGCACATTTCACAGATCAAAACCGCGTTGTACAACGTCTGAAATAAGGAGCTTACTTTATTAATCGTCTAAGAGCGTAAGGATATAACATTAAACAATTTAAGACAGGTATATTCATATCTACATAATTGTTAAAGAGTTTTAGAATATAAATACAAGACAAAAAATATTTCCTTACATTGTACAGCGATTTCCATTGGTAAGCTTTTGCGGAAAGTGCTTTCATTTTAGCAAGCAAGCCCTGAAATTAAAATGGTTATTTTAACAGCAGGGACTTTGAAATTTGTCTTGTCCTTTCTTATTAATAATTCTGTGATCTAAAGTATTAAACAAATTATATTAATCGAACTTTTTACGCAACAAGCGTTTTAAATAGAGAAATAAAAAAAAACTGTCATGTGAGAGTCTCAATCGCTTTGTAGTGCATCAGAATTAGTAAGGCGTAAATTGAAAGTTATTTACTTTTCATTCAGCAAAATGACGGGTTTATTTATAATTAGGTAAATAATTTATCTGATATTAACACTAACATTGACGTTCCTAATGAATCGCAGCGAAGAGCAGATATTTCTCGCAACCACGTCGCTTTGTGGTCTCATGAAGTATTCAACTACTTCCTGGCGTTGAGTCAACGTTTCTATATCAGTCGTAGGGTGTTGCATGAGGACTCTAAGGGCGAATATAAAAATTATAGCATGAGTGGTGTAGAGTCTGGCATAATTATCTAAACTTAAAACTAAATTTAACATCAGTCTCTCCTTTTTATAGGTTGCCATATTATGTCAAAGGAGTGACTGACAAGATCTCAAACATACTGAATAAGTACTCACTAAACACTGTCTTCACTCCTTTACGAAAGGTTTCACAATACCTACGGTCTCCGAAAGACAACTTCCCCTTGGAGAAACCTGGTGTCTATAAGATCGATTGCAGCTGTGGCAGTTCGTACATTGGCCAAACAGTAGCATGCCGATGAGGGAACACATAAAAGCAAACAAGAACAACGATACGCAGAAATCAGCCATAGTGGAACATTTGATTGATTTTGGTCTTAACCACTTGAGGATTGAGTTTCATAACCCATAGATTATCTCGACAGAACGCCACTACATACCAAGATTGGTAAGGGAAGCGATTGAAATAACAAAACATAAAAATTCCAATCGTGAGTACGGGTTTAAATTGTCGAGTGTCTGTCGTATGTGTAAAACCGGAAATAATCAAAAAAGTGTCGTGTCGCGATCCGATACTGTAAGTGTTGCGTGTCGAGAACAGTTTCGAGTGAATAGTGCGAATGTAAACAGTGGTACGGGTATCGAACGTAATAAAAGACTTCGTCGGAGGGTAGACCGATATTTCTGCCAATAACAGCCTACCCGCAATTAATTCAGTTACTCCGTGATCATGGCGTTTGCAACAGTGCCGAAATATCGGAAACTCGCTAAAAACAAGGTACATGGTAACAATCCCGTAAATAACTTATAGCATTACTATAAGGTTTCGGTATACTTCTTTATCCCGGTGTTTCAGCTTCATTTAACGGACTGCAGTAACGGGGCGATGAATGGATTTAATAACGGATACATTTTATGACACCGAGAAGAAGAATAGTCTTGTAGTTTAACCTCACTCAGGACCACCACTTGAATATCTGGTACAGGCTTAGTACCTCGCGCCTGGAGCCTCGGGCGTCCGGCTTGTACCTTCGTATGTGAAATGCCATCCCGTGTTATATCCATTTAAGTAGATTTTTAGGTTGTCACTATTATTATACAAGAACACTGATCGCCAATCAAAAATTACAGTAGTAACTTTAATCTCTTACCCCATCCTACTTCAATATGTTAATGAAAGTTCTTGAAAAGATTTGGGTATACTTCCTTATCAAGGTGTTTGAGCTTCATTATTCCTACTGTAGTTGCGGGGCAACGCACAGTTTCAACGGCGCATACATTTTATGACTCTGAGAAGAAAAATACTCTTTTCATCCCACCACCTCGGAAAGTGTAATTTTGCGCTTCGAAATCTGGCTGGAAAATTCTATTTTATTCGCTTGAGCGGCAAAGTAGATTTGAATTTAGAACATCACATATAATGAGTACTCAATATAATTGTAAATTCAAAACGTCATTAAACCTATTTAATGTAACCTCTATGGTGCCAAATTTATGATTAGAACTTTTTAAATTGTGAAAAAATTTAAATTTGGAACCTTCTTGGTTTCTTTGTTTTATTTGCGTGCTTCGCGCCATTCTAGTTTTTCACGTTTTATTGCTTAAATATTTTGTCATTATAAATTGTTTTCTTTTTCATTTTGTCATTTCCTCGCTGAGGTGGGATGAAAAGTTACGTATTGCACTCGAGTGGAAAGATTTTTCACCTTGTGCTCGTTTGTTTCCCTCGCTGACGCTCAGGATTCTAATTTAGAATCACTCGCTGCGCTCGTGATTCAACTTTAGAATCCTTCGCTTGCTCGGTCATCCAAATCGAGCACGCGGTTAAAAAGGAACTTTCCACTCTTGTATAATAAATAACTATACCCCCTTATTCCGTCTTTTTAGCAAACAAATATTACAGCATCTGTTTTAGTCCATGCTTAACTTTACTCTACTTTTATTATAAGGCGGTTAAAGTTAAACCTCATCCTAATCTGGCCGATCCGGGAGGAGCACCTCTTGAACATCTGGTAGAGGCTCAGACCTTCACGGCTGGAGCCTCTCGCGCCGCGCTTGAAGCCGCTCGGGTGCGACACTGAACTAAACACTTGCAGGCCGCAGTACGTGTCTTCGTCGAGTGTCACTATGTCCGCTCTAGGCGATGTGGGAAAATGTGTTTCGAATGTGTTAAGAAAATAACAAATGTAAGTAAAAACTTTTGGACGAAAGTCCTAATGTCTTCAATGAAACCTACAAATGGATTCTTTCATAGAAAAATGGTGTTAAGAAACCCAAAGAAGTCTATAATGAAGCTTTTAACTTTTTGAAGAAAGGATTCGTTTGTTAGTTTCATTAAAGACGTTACTGTGGGTTTCTTTTTCGTCTAAACCGCAGTATTATCGGAATACCTATTCAAAGACACCTCATATCATGAGGTAGAAAAGAAATATATGAATACTAACTGTCTCAGCGAACTTCGCACCGCCATAAAAAATAGGGGTTGGTAGTAGAAGGGTGAAAATTTAGGGTTGTTTTTTTTGTATGATGTCTCATAAAAAAAAAACAAAAAAGCTGCCCAAAAAAAAGACCACCCTTAACATTAAGAGAATGAAAAATAGATGTTGTCCAATTCTCAGACCTACTACATATGAAAGATAACGGTCTTGATCATGTGGAGATAGCGAAACTTTGACTCTATTTTCCTACTTTTTAAAGTTTTAGTTATGCCTTATAGTTTTGCCATGTCCGTTATTCGGGCCGTAGATTCGCTAAGAGACCTTTATTACTAGACAGCTGTTTTTGGTATGGTTATATACATATGAGTGTTACTTACTTAAGAATCATTCATATTTATATATATTCATACCGAAAAGAAAAATTAAGGTACCTCCGCCACACGTAATCTAATATATTAAATTCTCGTGTTACGGTGTGCGTAACTGAACTACTCCGAAACGGCTTGACCGATATTCGTGAAATTTTATATGCATATCGGCGTTATATTCCTTGTCTCCAGACCATTCATATTATGTTCATACAAGAGTATAACATTGCTCGTGTACTTACAGGGATATCTTTTTGAGACTCATGAACTCCGGCTTGCTGTGGAGGTCCATTATGATAGCCGACCAGTTCAAGTCGAGGTACCGCAGTAACGCACCTAGTGCGTGTACACTTTGAGTTTGACTGAAGTCCACCACGGTGCGTAGGAATAAGCTGCGTTCTTCTTCAGTACAATTGGATGGTTCGTGGGGTAAGGAGAGCGTGTGGATGCGTCTCTTGCAAGCTTCGAAACCTGAGAGTGTTATCATAGAAGTGCTTTCAATTGACAATTTGTTCCTTATTTCGAAAATGTTTTAATCGATACAGTTTTCAAAGAGAGGAAGGAAGGCCACCGCGGATTTTCCGCTCGAATTGGAACCCCAATTGGGGAAGCATCCTCCCCTTTACAGAAAACATCAGTAAAGTAACACTGACTTTTGGTGGTATTGTTTTTCTGCTGGTGAGTAGGGCTCCGCGGGGTAGGGCACTGGGTTCAGGACGGCTGAAGCGGCATATTTTTTGCCGCATCATCTATCTTCGCGACTGGACTGCATTTACATTTATCATAAGTAAGGTTAACTTGTTGCGCCTTGTATAATACAAAAGGTTTGAATATACCATAATATACTGGCGTGTTGAGGAGATATTATATGTTATGTACATATAGCAGAAAAGGTTTTAACCAATAATCTCAACAAGCAGTTTATTTGCATTATCGAGATGTAGCTCAAGTGATTGTAAGGCTTCCTATGAAGGTCCATTATGATAGCTTTGAGTCTGACTGAAGTTTACCACGGTCGAAGGGCTGCGTTTATCTGCAGAACTATTGGTTGGTTCGTTGGGTAAAGAGAGCGCGTGGATGCGTCTCTTCGAAACCGGATATTAATGTCATAGATGTGCTCCCTTAATTGACGATTTCTTCCTAATTTCAAAAAGGTTTTAATCAATACAGTTGAAATCCAGACTAATATTATAAATGCGAAAGTGTGTCTGTCTGCTTGTCTGTTATTTCTTAGCGCTAAAACCGCCAACTGATCGAGCTGAAATTGATGATTAGTGGGATCACTAGTGATAGTGGGACAAAATTGGTGGAACCACGTCAAAGTCAGTCAAACACCCCATTTGTATACTTTCTGACAAAAAGAAAGATATAACTGCCAATTGTATATTCTTACATCATTAGACTCACTCTAAGCGTTGTATTCAATAATATCCGCTAAACGAGGAATAGTTCCTTCTCTATACTTACTATATTCCCTAGCCGATATAAAAATCAGTTTGCACGTCTCTTCATCATGACTGTTGCCGAAGACCGTCTTTTTGACCGCCTGTACAAAGGCGCCCTGGGTCTTGCCGTCCAGAAGGATCCGGGAAGGTTCCACCTGTCTGAACAGGTTCAGAAACATCTGGTATTCCGGCGGACGGTCCACAATTTCTTCGAGTATGAACAACTGTGTAAGAATTTATGCGATCGTAATAGATAGTTTTAGTGAGATTTTACAATACCACATCCATATAAATATTATAAATGCAAAGGTTACTGTTGCTATTAAACCTTCTGTTTGTATGTCTGTACCTAAACTGCTTAATATAGTTTGATTAATTTTGGTACAGAGATGAAGGGGAGCTTGCATAAGCGCATAGGCTACTTTTGGTCGTGCGTGAAATAAAACATTACGGAAGGGTGAAATAGGTAATGAGTTTGGAAAACCAAATATTTAAAACAGACGAAGTTAGGGGTTTCGTATTCATAAATGCCGCTACTAGGATTTGGATCCGGTCCTGTAGTACTAAGGGTAGAACGAGTTTGAGCTCACGAAAACTATCATAGTTTTCGTAATTGTAAATTATGTTTCTACGTCCATTTTGGTGAAAAGTAACCAAATATACTTAAAATTTAAGAAGACGCAAATGATTTAATAATAGAATTTAAACACTGTGCATTTGTTTAAACAATAAAATCAAGTACCCTTAGTGAGTGCGAGCCTTGTGCGAGCTCACGAAAACTATCATAATTTTCGTAATTGTAAAATTTGTACTGAGGGTACTGAGCCCCCTTATTAATAAACAAGGAATAATCTTAGACTAGTTCCGCCGTGTTTTGTTTATGTCACTCACATGCCAATGTCATTCAACAGCCAGAGACAAAACATGAAGTAATAATAATAATAATAGCTTTATTTTCTTTAACATTGGTTACGTTACATTTTATACAACTGATTGAAGCCGCCTTTTAAGCAAATAATGCCTGTGACAGGTGACTCCGCTCTTCCATACCTAAAATTACAGTTTGCTTATCTATCTTTATTTTTAAACAAAAAGTGGGATTGCGCTGTAAGTATATCAAACAATAATAAATCATTAATTATTCCGTTTCCTCCGTTCCTCATAATTCAAAAAAATTATGTAGTTTAATATGTACATATTTTTTTATATTCGTGTGAGGTTTCAGTATATATATCTATGATTTTATTTATTTTATCATATAGATTTGCCGAGTGAAAATTATATTGCATGGATCCAAACGCAGTTTTTGTTCGTGGAAGTACAACAGAGCTTTAGGAGCATCATCATCAGCCTATTTATGTCCCCACTGCTGGGGCACAGGCCTTCCCTATGGATGGAATAGGGAGATTGGGCCATGACCCACCACGCGGGCCCAATGAGGATTGGCGGGTGCTAACGACTGCAGATGCAGCATGGGACCAACGGCTTAACGTGCCTTCCGAAGCACGGAGGAACTCGAGATAGAAGGTTTTTGATCATCCATCCAATGATCGACCACTGCGAAAGTTGCTTAACTTCAACAATCGCAGCCGAACGCGCTAACCACCCGCGCCATCGAGCTTCTCTAGTCTAGTCTGGAGTAACTTATCCAAGCGTAGTCTTGTTTTTCAAGAAGCCTCCTTATAGGAGGAGTCTAGAGAATACTGGAGCGCAGCCATTACAACAATGTGTATTTGACATATCCACTGTTCTATGGTCATACCTACACAGGAAAAGATTTTCCATTGAAATATTAAAATACACATTAACTTACCTCACTCGTCTGCAGCGTGTAATAAGCCGCGCCCAATTTACCCCCTCTACAATAAACGACGAGCAATTTCTGTAATAAAAACTGTTCAATTAAGGTAAAAGTGTATCAGAGTGATGTGATTAATTTGAGCTGTTTTAATCTCTACTCCTTTTCATATTTCATTTTAGTAATGGACACGCACGGCATTTACTACAGTATTTTAGTATACAGTATTTGAGTAACTGAGGGAGCGACGTTGCGGTACAAACTTTACTATACATATGAAATATAAAATTAAGTATGCATCATAAAATAAATTAACTAGGCAAATAAGATCCGAAAATAATAAATTTTCGGAGAACAACCTATAAGAACTAACTATTCTACGTTACGCGTTGCGTCGTCATTAATGGCTACCGTAATTAGTTGGAAGAATTTTGCGCATAGTTTGCCCAACATACATTGATTTAAAACCTACTAAACTTATGCAAATAAATTATAAAGTAATATGATCTGAAATGCGCTGCCACCCTGCTAAGGTTAGGAAGTGTCATTATCTTACTTAATAAATAAATTTGAAAGTTTGTATGTTTGTAACTCAATCACGCAAAAACTAATGAATGGATTTGGATGAATTTTGGTACGCTTAGGCTCAATTCACACTGGCGCAGAGTCGCAGCGTCGCGTCGCGTCCTGTTTCACAAATAATCATAATTTACAAATAATCACAAGTATCATTTTTGTCACTATAATTTTTCGCTTTGACGTTATACAGACATTTATATTCTTGGACAAAATAAACTAATATATCGTCTTCATTAATTGTCGATTCGTCTCATTTCGGCACTGTGCTACGTCTGGTGTGGTGGCGTCAGACGTTTCATTTCGCGCGAAACCGCTCGACATCGCTCGACGCGTGTCTACACGCGACCAATAAAAGGGAACATCTTAATGGTGGGAAAATAGAAGGACGAAGTCGCAGGCGCTCGCTAGTTTGTGCACAAGTGGAACATTAGTAAGAATATTATTATTTAATAAAAAAAAACATTTACTATTATAATTACTTTGCTCGTAGCTGTTCAATACTTACTTCTTCTATATCAGATTCTTCAGTGGTTTCTTGATTATTATTTATATTTTTATTTGTAGAGACAGCAGTGTTTCTGAAATAATACTATTAAAAAGACTCCATGTTTCTTTTGGAGAAGGAATTGGTTCAGTTTATATATCGTTTAAAAAATGAAAGATACAAGTAAACTTTTTCAAAAGCGGAAGGAGTTTACCTTTAAAGCAATTACTGATTACTTTAGTATTTTAAAATCACCTTTAAAAAAAGTATTAATTCACTTTCAATACCTTCGACATTCAGCTATTACAAAATGGCTGTTTGTTTGATTAGAGCTTGGGTTGGAGGTGTTGCTGGTGATGCCAGGTTGTCGTGTAGACGTATCTTCTGAGCTAATTTCCATAACTTTTCCTTATAAAAACTATGAAGGATATTTTAGTCGTAAGTATTTGTTACCTACAATTTCATAAACTTTATAGAGTCGTGTCGATGGTAAAAAGTGTTTTTCCCGCTTAATTTTGTTTCGTTTTGTTTTTTTTTGTTGAAGTTCTCCCGTTTTAGGGAAGGCAAAGGGAACAATGCCCTTACAGCCTGGTCTTTAATTAAATTAATCTTCTTTTTGTTTTTACATTAGAATGTCGGTGTGACGCATTCTAATGTTTCTTGGAGTGTTTGGCACGAAATGTATCGAGTTGGCTTTTTCGATAAGCTTCTGTGAGGTAGTCAACACTACAATAAAATTCTCACGTCCACTTGACCGCAATAGCGTATATTTTAATGATTCCACTAATTCTTCAGTTACGCAGACAGTTGTTACACAAAACCACAGCAATTTTATTTCACAATATCCACTATGAACGAATTTAAGAATAATTAAAATAAGACGCCAACCGTACTCGATGAAATCCCGCCAAAAACCCCGTTTTGTTTTTTTTGTTTTATTTTTTCATAGGGTAGGTATTTTATTCCACGAAGCCAAGTATTCAAATTTTTTATACAAAATGATAAAATATATTTCTCAGTTAATACGGGGGGTTTATTTTACTATTTTGTTCAGATAAAAAAATAACATGAGGAAAACAATCTATTAAACTTTTTCATGTTAAAAACTATATATATGAAACAATTCATTCTTGTACTTTACTCAGTCCGTCCTTTTATTAAAATAGTAATTCACGTTCGTGTTACCTATAAATTATTAAGTGACATGCATATGGCGTGTTAGGAAAACATTGGAGGTACGGTTATTAGGGCACTCACTTGATTGCCGCGCGGAACAAATATACGGAGGCACAACTGCCCATTGACCTGAATGGACTGAATGATCCGAATCCTTAGCCTAGATGTAAACGATAACTTTTAGAATTATAGAAGGAGTTAGCTAGTTTCTAAGTATTAATATTTATAATATGAAATCGTATGGACGTTTTGTTGAGGTAGAGTATAGAAATCGTAGTATAAATAAAACTTAAAAATATTTGATTTTTGTTCAAATTGGGATGTTCTTTTTTATAAGTTTCCCTTACGGAATTTAAGGTAAATAACTTCATCGTATATTATCTTAGAGAACAGGGGTATCTTTTTTAGAAGGGGACCAGTAAAATGAATAAGACAACGTATCTTAAATGTATATATTATTCACAATACAAAAAATACTCACAGTGTCACATTGCGCTCAGTTTAAAAGTTTTGTTATAATGTTTATCAGTGCTCCTAACATTAGAACAACATATATTTAAAACATGATATTATCTTCAATTAAAATGCTTTTTATTTTATTTTAACTAATTATTTTTATAAAGGCACTTAGGGTATTTAAATATCTTAATATTTTACAATTTAATGTTATATTCTTAAGAGCAGCAGTGCTATTCTGTAAGAACAAAATCACTTTTCACGGAAACTAGCGAATCCGCGTTGTAATTCGAAATTAGAATACGAATATTGAAATAAATTTTAAATCATACCGACATAAAGTGAGTTTGTATGTTCTTACAGAAAAGCACTGCTGGGCCGGATTTAGAGGTGTGGAGGCGAGACGCTTTCAAGGGGTTGTGTTACGTGCGTCGCCAAGCGGCAGTCGCACGAAGTTTTACGTTTGTCGCCGACGACAACCTTAACCGATCCGTCGAAATTTGTTTTTTTTTTCTGTTGTGAAGGACCCATGGCCCGCCTATCCTGCCTTAAATTCGGCCCTGGTTAAGAGTGTTGTTTAAGAATTTTATTAGGTAGCATTAATATTTAAGTCCGATGTCTGATAACTGGAGTCATCACTTCGTAGACTATTTACCACACTAGATAAAAAAAAAAACTAAATGACCAGCAAGTCACGTTCTTCTGGCGCCTCCTTTCTCCAATTGATGCGGATGTGCCGGCAAGCATGGCCGACCGCCTCCGCCGCCGGCACCACTGTAGCAGCCATACACGACGCCACCATTGTCCGAAGCGAAGCGAAGTAGATTTTCACGCAGCGTAAGCAGGGGGCCGTACACCATATTTGCTGTAATTATAAGAAAATTTGAATGAGTGATGTTGAATGATGACTACATAAGACAAAGTTTCTAATGAAAAACAAAAATTGAAAAGGTAAATCGATGATGGTAAGAAGAGGCTGTAAGGACTTAATTTCCTTTGCATTCTAATTTAACAAAAAAAAATATGATTTTATTTTTATTGTTCGATTTGTGAATTTGATTCATTTTATAATAAAAGTTTTAAAAGAATTTTATATAATAACAGATATTGTGTCTTTTTACATTTAACTTATTATATTAAAATACTTGTAATGTTTTTTATTTGATAAGCATTCCTATTTCATTAAAATTAGATTTGTTAACTTATATTTCAATATACAATATCACGGGATTTATTATTTGTATACTTTATCCATTTTTATTTATCGTAATATAAATAAAACGTACCTAGACAATAAAATACAAGACAAAAGTGTTTCAGGCATTTTTACATAACAGGTACTCTCATTACGGTAAGTACTAATTTTCAGTTAAAACACGGAAATGTTGGAAAGGTCATTTACCTCGTATAACAAGCCAAATGATCAACCGTTCGTTTATGAAACAGCTGTTGTAAGATCCGGCTTTGCACGAGTTGCTTAAAAATAATTTCTGGTTTATTAAAAAAAAAGGTTCGGATGGTATTATTTATCTTGACAATTACACACATAATTTTACTAACAACAGGCATTAGGAAGGGTATACCTCGAATGCTAGACATGCAAATCTGCACCCCAGTAGCAAGGCACAGGGCGGCGCTCTCAGCACAGCCACCAGCAGTTTCTGGCGTACTGGAAGCAGACGGAGCTTAGCCGCCATGACCACTCCTGGCGGCGGGCGTCTTCAGGCTCACCGATTATTTCGTCACATACTATCTGGTTTAAGACTGGGTATATAAGTACCTCGAAAGCTAAACACGCGAACCCGCATCCCAGGAGCAAGGCACAGGGCGGAGCTATCAGCACAGCCAGCAGCATATAGCACCAGTTTCTGGCGTACTGGAAGCAGACGGAGCTCAGCCGCCATGAGCACTCCGGGCTGCGGGCGCCTTCAGGTTCGCCGATTATGTCGTCCCATACTATCTAGTAAAAGACAAATGAGAAAATTATGCAATAGGGAAGATGCAATATTTTTATTTTTGTTTTCATTTTAAAGAATTCCATGTAGAATAAACCACAGATATATTAAAAAATTAAAACATTGTGATTTATCGGAAAAATGCGGTTTTAAATTGACAATTTAAATTTTCGCGCGATAACGAACCTATGGTTGCGATGACGTCACTCCTGTCTGTCACTGGTCGTACTTCTTCGTCGCTGGCTTTAAATTTTCATACTTTTGCATATTTTTTCGACTATCGAAATATTTTTTTGAAAAAATTTAAAATGGTCTATCCATCAACATCATGTGATCATAACAATACCACTAATATTCCGAAAGCCATGTTGACTCATGTTTTGTGCCAATCTACTTCAACAAAGTTCCCAAATAAATTGTTTTTGACTGCAACTTCTGACCCAAAACTGAAAAAAGTGGTTTCAAGCTGCGAAGAGAAATGACAATTATTCTCCAAAAACCGATGCTGAGAAGATCACTTTGACGTAAGTCGGCGAATATACTTGTTATATGCTTAATTAATGTGCTTGTACGTAAAAACGTATTAGTAACCTATCTAATACTTACAAAACCTGTCTATAATATATTTTTAATTTTACAGTTTGAGAATGACGTCGAAAATTAGATAAAGTTTAAAATGTGTGGCACAATCTTCCCATTGGCAGGACTGAACCAAGCTTTGCGTTTCATTTAAAATAACTGTAACACGATAACCTTCTTTACGTACTTTATGCTCCGGAGAACTCGACCTTTTACTGTACATAATTCTCCATCTCTTTTAATTTGGACATAGCCGATTGCATTATCGCCGTAAGATTTGTAGAAGCCGCTGAATAAAATACGAAGTTTAACAACTACGATTTTTACATACCGTAGTAATTTAGTCCCTTTCATTTCTACACTTAAAAACTCTGCACTTTGGACAAAAAAAGTTATAACCATGTCAACGCTAACTCTTGGTAAATTCCTGGAGTCTGCTTTGATAAACGCAACTTCCATTTTTATTAAATGTAAAAAAACGCAATAAATATACCCATAAAATAATATTTACTTTAATAATCATAACCTCAAAGAAGTTGTCATAACATGAGTGACGTCACTAAACGCTGATTGGTGTTTTAAAATACGTTCTGTTTCAAGTATTTTTAATTCGTAATAATTGTTAAAAAACAACATTATGTAAAACTAGAGGTCGCCCGCGACTTCGTCTGCGTTAACTTAGTTTCTTTGTAAATCCCTCTGGAACCTAACACTTTTTCGGGATAAGAGTAACCTATGTGTTAATCTAGGGTGTCAGCAAACTCCATACCAAATTTTATTAAAATCGCTCCAGCCGTTTAGACGTGAAGAAGTAACAAACATACACACTCACATACTCACAAACTTTCGCCTTTATAATATTAGTGTGATAAAAACGTTGCAGTGGCATTTCTTTTATATGTTTTTAACATTTTAATCATAAAAATTTCATAAATATTATATATGCATCTTCCCTATTACCTATATAGGTATTTAATACCAATTCTATCATCATCATTCATGATTAAGGCTGCGTCCGGTTAGTAGTCCGAGATCCCACTGCTCGATTCTGCAGCCATCTGTTTTTTTTATGAAACTTAATTTGAATGAATGATTAGTGACTATACTCTCAAATAATAAACTGATTGAAGGTACTTGTTAAAACCTGGCAACTCTTAAGTTGCTGCCGATTGCGAGCTGGCAAACATTGTTTTTTGAATTCTTCACATCATTTTCTTTCAGTTGATGTAAAATATAAAAAATAATATGGTTGAATTTTACATCAATAATAGGATGTCATTAAATTTACTTAAAGGCATCTGCGGCATTTTGTTAGGCAACCCGTCACAAATGTATTGCATGTTCACTAATCATCCCTTTAAATTAGGTTTCATTTAAAAAACAGATAGATGCAGAATCGAGCGGTGGGACTGTGGGATCTCGGGTATAGAGCGTCAAAGAAATTTCGCATCACGCGCATTGTTCATCTTTGATGAATAGACAAATCCAGATTGCCTATAGCTGATCCAATTTTCAATAACTACCTTAGATTATTACTGTCCTACGAAGGTTTTGTATTTAATTATTTCAGGGGTTTAAAATCTTATTTTTAAATCGACTTAATTTTTGAATGGCATTCTCTTTCTTATTAAGTATTTTTGGCAGTGTTTATTTTACTTTGAAATCTCTATAAATAAATATTCATTTTAATCGTCATGAAAAGCACTGCACACTGGCGTAACTTGTAAGTTTTAGTTATAATGTTTGAGAAAATCATTTCAGAGTTCTGAGGTAGTAGATTTATTTAGTCTCGAGTGTATTTTGATGGATTTAATTTGGTTTCTATGTTTATAATTGGAATTGTACCTTGCAGTGATACCTAAATATTTATGGGAACATGAAATATAAGAATTTGTGAAAAAGAAAATTATAAATAGGAAAAATTTAACTTAGCCAAGGTATCGGACGAGATCAATTTATGCAGTATTTATGTAGCAACAGCTTTTATTGACAGTAAAGATTTGTTTGGGTGTTCAAATAGTAACTTACCGTTACATTCATTTCTTTTTCTACCATTGTGAGCAAACAACTTCAACGAGATGTCCCAGTCAAAGACAGCTACATATCTTGCAATGAAAGATCTATGTTTGTTTGCTCTCATTGCAATCTCTTCCGTGAAGCTATTTTGAGCTGGTCGCTCAGTGCAAAAAGATTCGTGTGCAGTGCTGTGCTAATTTCCTAAGTCAGTAATTGTATTTATGACAACATCTAGGAATTCAAGACTAAATTTGGCAGGTCTTTTTTATACACAATTGTGGTCAAATGCGTAAATTCCCATGAATTTGAATATTAAAGGCCGGAACTTCAGTTCAGCTTCAACTGGATTTTTGTTGCAAAGGGACCATCGCCCTAATAATAAAATAGAAGCACATTTCGGTTATGTTGTGTTTGTGTTAGTTTGTTAAAATTGTAGAGCTTTATGGGGTGGAGTTTATGGTAAGAGCAGGCTACGCGCTAATAATCTGTTGTTTTAACGTCTATGGGCGCCGCTTACCAATAGTAATTAGTATTTGTTTTAACTCGTTTGTCCTTTTTTAACACGCTTTTATTAGGTCCACTTGTATGTAACTATGTAATGAAATTTAAGAATCTGAATAACACGCACTTCTAATTCTTGTATCATCATGAAACTTGGAAATTATATGTTGGGTAGGTTCGTCGTTCGTCCGAGGTTCAGTGATAAAAAGCTCGCATGCTACGCGAGTTCGATTCGCAGCCGAGTAAGGGATTTTTTTTATTAATGATTTGAAGTTTCGCTTGCATCGTAGTTTTATAAAAGCCACATTTTATTTTCGTTTCTGCTAGTTTTTTTAAAACAAATATTACCTGTTCTTAGCACCCGTAGAGCTTAATTATAGTAAATAAAGATGAAATACTCGTGCATCTGGGATAGAATTTCTACATTATAGAGTATTCTTATCAGTGTTGTAAAGAAGCTTTCCAAACTGTTTAGCTTAACTCTTTTGTTTTGTTACATATTTTGTTACGATTGTTTTTATATTGTGGCATCGCATGTGCGGCCTGCATGTTAAAATATCACGTTGGCTGATATCGATTTCTTTTGATAGAGAACAATATTTACAAATAAATAGCCAGTTCTTTGATTTGTTTAAGTGCTTGTGTCAGTTTTTAAAATTAGCACTTTTTTTAATCTCAATTTAAAGGCTTTTGTCGCTTGGCGACTATGTCAGCTTATAAAATACGATTTCGTCTTATTTTCCCTCATTAACTTGTACTTTACTCAAGCTACCGTCAATGATATTTTATGAAAATTGCTGATGTGATAATAGTAGTTTATGCGACTGTCTGTAATGACATTTCGTACTCGCAAACGATACGAATTCGATATTGGTTCGTGCTAGGGGTACAGTACCCCTAGCACGAACCAATATCGAATTCGAATAGTTTGCAAAACGAAATGTCAATGTCAAATTTTGTATGGAAACTTTAACAGCAGCGGCACAAATTACATAACGAGAACTAAAAATCAGTACAAAATTTGACAATGACATTTCGGACTCGCAAACGATGCGAATTGTATATTGGTTCGTGCTGAAATCCCGAAAACAAAACAGGAACGACAGAATTTTTAATGGGAAGCGAGAGAAATTAAATTCAAATTTCGAATGCGTACGCTTCTTTGTTTACACTCAGCCTTATAAATTAAAAAAATGGGTGCGTGTACTTATGTAGGCGCGTGAGAAGTTATCCTTCTTTGGCATCGTTTAAAATTAGTTTTTAATTGCATGCAAATAATTAATTACAATAAATTAATAAAAAGTCTGGAAAAGGACACAGTCAATAAAGTTCAGTTTTAATTTGAAAAAATAAATAAATAATCAAAATATTCAATTAAAATCGCTACTGAATATAATTTATTAGAACATATGTGATTTGCACTTGTATGAAACTCAAACACGTATTCCGAATATACAAACTAGAAACATGTGGATAAATATTATAAATATGAATACCTATAACTGTTACTTTATTACAAAAAATAAAGATGTGGTTTTTGGTTCTACTACACCAATGGTCAAGAGATGGCGCTGTAGTCTCCTGAATCGCGCTTTTTTTTCCGTTGTTCCAGATTAATAAATACTTTTGATATTATAAATATGAATACCTATAACTGTTACTTTATTACAAAAAATAAAGATGTGGTTTTTGGTTCTACTACACCAATGGTCAAGAGATGGCGCTGTAGTCTCCTGAATCGCGCTTTGGTTCCTTTGTTCCAGATTAATAAATACTTTTTGATAGGCCTTCACAATGCAGTCGTTAGCACCCACTAAATAGAGATTCTATTTCTATTTTGTTGGTAGATTTTCTTAATGTGCGGTAAACACAAAAGTAACAGCATGAAGTTGGTCGCTAAAGCGACCAACTTCATGCTGTTAAAATTTTGTGTTACAGTGATGCGCGCGCATCTTAAAATTTCACTCCCATCATTTTTTTATAACGCGCCTAAAGAAGTATAACTTCAAAAATAGAAGCAGTACCTACTGAAATGAGTTTTATTTTTTAATTTTATCTATGAGCGATCACAAAGTACATTTTTATAAAATGATCTATAATTTCGTAATTATAATATTGCGACATGTAGATAAATATAAAAAATCGGTATTGGTCACCTTTTTTATTTAAAAGTCAATAAGGGATAGCTCAGCAGTGATATTCAGTAAGAATTTGTTTTAAATAAAATTTGATCCATTCTTGCCCAAATGAAGGTATATCTCGGAGGCTGGCTGGTGCTATGAAAGTAAAGTATTATATTATTTTTAATAAAGTTTCTAGTTTGAGTTTGACTTACAATATCGCTTGACATAAGTTTTATTGGTATAATGTTATTTCTGCTGTACAAAGAATCTGCCTAAACTAGAATCTGTCCTGAACCAAATAATTGAATAGAAAGTATGTAACTACTATTTTTTTTTAATTAATGTAAAGGTCGAAGAATGTTTCAGTCAATGAACCCTGTTCAAAGTACACTAAGAAAGCTCGTAAAAGTGTTAACAATCGCGTGACCACCGGACCGTCCACTGACATCATATCGTAGTAGGTATTGAAACGATACAGACCATTACTGTTAGTAGCTATAGTGCTGGATGGTAATTTGAGCCAGTTCATTTATCATTCTCCCTAAAACAAAGTGTGTTCATTTTCTAGATTTGTAAACATTATTGATGTGAAGGTAATTTGTTTTAGGAAGAGGTACCTAAAATCAAAGTTTATTTATCATACCTTTTATAGGTATTTGAAGTCGTGTGTAAGTAGGAAAATAATGACAAGGCAAATATTTATTGCAAGCATTATTTCTTTTATTATTTCAATTAAACGAGAAATTGAGAAGTGTTGCTATTGAGATTTGAGTACAAAAACAATCCTTTTTATATCTTATACGACTAACCACATTTTAATTGAGGTATAAAGAAGAGATAACTTAAGTTTGCATTTCTGCCTTGTGAATTTTTTTATGTGTACAGATTTTAATTTTAAGTTTAGCGCATAGCGCATAACTGACTTTACAATAAATTTAACATACAAACCGTGCACGGGGGGGTGGCGTCTTCTAAGTTTCTTTCTCTCTCAATCCATCAACAAAGCTGAGCAATTCCATAGTATAAATGAAATCAATTTATTGGTTTTTAATACACATTCTTATGAATTGCGTGCTGAGTAGTAAATTCGAAAATAAAGGAAAGAAAGCTATTCCGAAATTGCTTTCAGTTCTCTTTTGTTATTTACGTTGAACCTAGTATACATGGAGCTGTGTCCGGTAATGTGCACACTCATTTGCGACGTCACGCGAGCACCCGTTTCCACTAACTGCGAGCTATATTCATTGTTTAGACTTGATTTGTTACTATTGTTCAAAGAAAATGTAAATTAAAATAAAACATTGGATATTATAAGAATAGTTCAAGAATGCTTTGGGTGGGTTTATTAAAATATACTAACTACATACATAGCTTTAAGCCTGCTCGAAATTTCTGAGGTATGGGGGTTTGTAGATTTACCTCTCGAATTGGGACGCACGTCTGCGGCAAGTTTAGGATGGCTGGGGCGGTATATTTTATAAAGCTCGCTTTGCAATTAGACTCTAGATTCAAAATCAGATGCTCCTGATGAACTATTAAAGGTAGACAGATAGAATATTACAGATTGGACACATAGACAGAATGGGCTCTTCTATTGTCGCTGCAACTTCAACAACAAAATATTAACGAGTTCGTCTAACAACTTTAATAATTCGAGGGTGTGATATTGGTCAAGTCGTCAAATCGACAAATTAGAAATTGGACGAATTGGTAATTAGTCAAATTATGTTATTTGCCAAATATGCCATTGGTCAAATCCATGTAGGTAAAGTTACTGTTAGAAGTTTATCTAGGCGGAAAACGCTGGCCAAATACAGTTCGAAGCATATTATGTCATAACTAGACGTCGCCCGCGACTTCGTCTGCGTTAACTAAGTTTCTTGGAAATCCCTCTGGAACCTAACATTTTTTTCGGGATAAAAGTAGCCTATGTGTTATTCTGATCTATAAGCTACATTACTGTAAAGTTTCATTAAAATCCGTTTAGTAGTTTTTGCGTGAAAGAGGAACAAACATCCATCCATACATCCATCCAAACAAACTTTCGCCTTTATAATATTAGTAAGGATTATGTTTCTTCCCGTCAAATATGTTTCATTTCACTTGATTTTACTTCATTATTTGTAAATACAATAATACCTGCATTATTTACGTGGTTTCGTTTTGTTGAATATTTCTTATTTAATAAATGGCTTCTAATAGCGAAGGCTGTGTGATTCTGTGTTTTTGTTTTGACCAATGGTGTATTTATCATACATTATTTGACGAAAATAGGATTTGACGAATTACTAATTTGCCGATTTCACCAATATCAGATTTGATAAATGTCATAACACCCTTCTACGATTGTAAGTTCGATGTTTTTTTCCCGGGCGTAATACATACAAAAATTAATTTTGTATATGATACAGGATAATTACTCCGAGGACACAAGGGTAGATAATGAGACGAGATAAGTACATTCCTATTTCATGTTCTATAGCCAGAAAACGGTCAAATATCACGTAAAATGAAATAAACCTACGCATTCCATAAACGTTGGAGATTGTTTTATGGGGTTCGATAATCAATTTAACTATTGCTTTTACGTTATTCTGAAGACAGAAACCTTCGTATTTGTATTGTCCAGACGTACAATGAATACGGAATGTCACATTATAAGTATTTATGTAAATGGTAATTATGTCAGGGGCGACCGCGTGACCTTTTCATCCCTAAATAATGTCCGTCTGGCTTCTTTCAAGGGGTTGTTAAAATGTAAATAGCCTTCCGGTGGCGAAACACTGTTCTATTTTCAGTGGCGAATTAGCATGAAAAACACTTGAAAATCGTATGTCAAAGTTTGGTATTTGAGTGACGTAGGTATATGTAACGCACGAAGTGTTTCCGTTTTAGGAAACAGTTAAAATAATTACTTATTACAGCGTCTAGGTAAGTATTTTCATCCTTTTCGCAGTATTATAGTAAGGATAATTTCCAAAAAAACTTTTTAATTTATCGTCATCAGCCAATTTATGTCCTAACTGCTGGGGCACAGGCCTTCCTTATAGATGGAATAAGGAGATTGGGTCATGGCCCAACATGCGTGCCCAGTGCTAATGGGTGAGTGCCAATGGCTGCAGATGCAGCCGGAACCGGATTAATGTGCCTTCCAAAGCATGCAGGACCTCGAGATAATAGATTTTTGGTCACCCATCCGGTGACCGGTAATTGCGAGAGTTGCTTAAGTTCCACGATCGCAGACTGAACGCGCTAACCACTTGCGTCAGTAATACTAATCCGTTTAATAATAATAATGGAGAATAATAGAAATATGTGGAAGTACTGACAATATATCGTCTGGATTTATGGAATACACTCATCTATCTTGTTTTATGGAAATCACAACCATCCAGATACAAAATAGAAAAGTTTGGCCATTGTTTCGATATAAATTTTTAATCGCTTCCAAATGTTGGCTGGTACATTTTTTTAAGTAGCTCACCTGTACATGTTGATTGAGATTATTAGGGTCCCTATCCTCCAGGCCCTCTTGCATATTCTCCGGTTTGGCAGCTGGCATCGTCGGTATAACTGGCGGGGACACGCGCTCCTTCGCCCTTGGTTGGAACACTACCGCCTCTAACGCCTCTAAGATAGGCTCCGGCGACTCTAAGATGGGCGGGGCGGTGGCCGGCGGGGCGTACGGAGGGTGGTGCGGTTCAGTATGGTTCAGCTTGGCTTTGTGCAAGCACGCAATGCAGTGGCGAGATGTGGTGCGGGATAAGACGGCACCGCCGCCCGACCCGATCGGTACTTCCTCAAAGGCCACGGTCGGTTGGTGTGAATACTCCTTTGTAAAAACTTTGTGAGGGGGTGGGGTTTTGAAGTTTTCTGTGAGTTTCGCTCGCTATGTAACTTGATTTTTACTAGTCTTCAAATAACACTTAATATTTTTATAAAGAGGTTTTAAGATTTGTGTAGTTTATTCACAATCAAGTAGTGTTTCTTTTCCTAATTGTAGTGTCTCAAAGAGTAAGAAAAAAGAGATGCCGGATTGATCTATGTTGTTTCGCACTACGAACTTTTTTGCAAATGTTTTTTATGAAAAATATGAATATATTTCAAGTTCTTTGCAGTCACAATGTATGGTGAACTTCATGTGCTCAACTGAAAGCTCGCGCTGAAACTAAAATTTCCCTCCAAAAGCTTTGAATTATTCACCTTTGCGCATGCGCAAAAGTTCCAATACGATACGATAGTTTCTTTGTGTTTACTTTTCATTGAACGGTACGTCATGGTGTTGAACTAGGTACTAAGGAATCTAAGTTTGCAATGTATTTTTACTTACCTGCTTCGATAGAGTCAATGATTGCTGATTTGTTATTCTGAACGTCGGTCGCCACTTAAAGTGTAAAGGACGTTGGCTAATGGGTTTTTGATAGTGCACGTGTAGTGTAGTATATAGATTTATAAATTACTAATGTGATCTAAAATGTTTACAAGTAAATAATGATAAAATAAAATTGCTGTTATATTTATTGAATTAAAATATTTTAAAGTTAAAGTGTTATTATATCTATAATTAAAACAAACCAATTGAATATAAAGTGTTTATTACGTTTTGAATAAACAATACTTAATAACTACAAAGTATATACATGAACCATTATGAATGTCTTATGTACAGTATTCTTAAGTATGTTTAAAATCTATTTTTTTGAATCATAAATAAAGTAATGCACCATGTTAATTAAATTATTTCTTTTAATTTAAACAATATAAACATATTATATTTATAAATCATTATAAATGTTATTGCAAAAATATGGATTTCAAGATAATAAAGATACATCTTTATGTGACACAATGTAACATAGGTATTAATTTGGCATCTTTTAGTATTAGAGTTACAGTATTTTATCATGGCCCGTACTATATAAATACAAGCCTTTTTTCGAGGTGTCCATGTTTTTGTTTATTGATAAATTACATAGGTATGTTTTTTTGAACAAATTTACACTGTGAAAAATGACTTCGTGAGGGGCCACCAAAGGGTGTGTGTGCCATTTGAATCGAATCAATAACGGGTTGGTCAGCAATAAAGAAAAAAATATTAAAGATTGCGTGGAGCGGCCAAGTTAACCCAGTTACGCCACACCCGGTCTTTCACACCCCACACGAACATGATTGATGCCCAAAGGTTATTCTGACCCTAAAAGGGAAACGTGATTAATTTCCTTGATGTCTACATTATTTTTGACTTATTTATTTTGTTTGATGAACTGACATTTGGACACACCCGAAACAAAAGACACGTAAGTTTTGGTTGTCAACGTAAAACACAATGTAATATTAATTTCAGTTTCGTTCGCTTCCGCTTTTCAAGATATTATGTTATTGATGTTCTTGGTAGGAATATATATATAACTGTTTTATATTAAGTAGCACCAGATCCTAACAAAAAGTCTACGCTATATTAAAGCTTCAGTATTATGTTTAAAATGGAAGACGATTACTATTGCCTCGCTTAAAATCGCTAAGATTAACATAAGAAAGTGTTATTACTTAATTAGTTAAATTAAAGTTAGCACTTAAACATTTTACACAAAAAATAATTAAAGCACTCTTCGGAGTTATAATAGCAACAAAAAGAAAAATCTTAGTAACATTAAATTTTAATTATTTTTTTCTTGGTGATTACATAAATGTGTTATATATGTTATTCTTATTTAAATATCATGTTACTTATGTGTATAACAAATACACAAGTTTATAATTTTTTACAAAATAATCTCATACTCATGTTTCTGTATTTTTCTGTTGTATCTCTATAAGCATAGTTAAAAATAATACAGATCTCAACTAGTATTTAAACACTTTAAAATTGGATTTTACACTATAACTTTTTACAAAATATTTATTTCATACATCCACTGGATGAATAAATCAAAACAGTTTAAATGAATTTAAGCACATTCAAAGAACGAATGTTAGCAAATATTTTGAGCAAATGCGTGCGCAATTTTTTGCCACGGATCAGTGAATGGCGACTGTTGCTCGCGTAGGTCCCGAAGGCCGCAGGGTGGGCACGATCACGGGTTCCTCCGGCTCTTCTTTCGTGGTCTCTCTGACCCCGTGTGCATGCGAAGGGTTACTTTTGAAATAAACAAAACAGTTAGATCGGCAAATTCGCGCTAGCACTTGCAAAATGATATGATGATTATCGTTATATGTATGACCGTTAATTGAATAGGTAGATATTCAGTGAAATGCTAAATAAAAAAAATAAAGTACCTCAATCTGTTTTTCAGCATTTTTTAATTAAAAGCAGCAAAAGATTCATGCAATACACTACGTTTCCATATAATTCACAATGCATTACGATAGATTTATATGGTATAGGTTCAGGGGTTGTAAAAGCCTCGTTCTTTAATAAATTAGCGCTAAGGGATTAGGGATTAATACTATTAGTATTAATAAAAAATATTAAAATATTTACAGATAATATTAGTTTTCAATCGAGTATTAATGTCAAAACAAAATCGATAACGCTGAAGATGAGGCCATTTATCACTGTGTGTCAAACAAGGTAGTGTCAAATGGGGGACAGTGTAACAAGGGGCTCAGTGTAACAAAAGGAATACCTCTGTATTATACCCAGGCCATTTGACGTCTGATGACAGCTGCTTAAGATGGCGGCATATAAAACTAATAAAACCACGGCAAGACTAGTGTTAGTTATCAACTTCTTTTCTATCAAATATAGTATTTTTAAAGCTGTTACCTCTAAAAATATAGTAGTCAGCAAAAAAATGAAAAAAGTACAGTATGTAGTATGTATGTATATGGTTAAAATGTTTACTTTATTTTTTAAATGAATATTACATTTCTATTTTTAAGAAAGCTTTTGCTGGCAAAAATCTGCTTTCAGCAAAATATAGTAGTTTTACGTACTATATATATTTTTTTAGAAATATAAAATTTGATCTCCTAATATAGTATGATACTAAATTACATAGTAGGGTTGGCAACCCTAGTCAAAGTAAAAAAGAAAAGGGGTAATATTTTTTATGTAACACTGTCCTCTACTTGATCCTGCCCTAGAAACATACGTTGCACTGAGATTCGACATTACCGAAACTAGACGTTAGGATTAAGATGCGTAGCCATTTCGTACAAATTAAGTATACATAAGAAAGTTAGAGAAACAAAGCGAGAAGCGGCGGATATAAAAATGACAATCTGAGACATCGATTTACGTTTAGTTTATTATGAAATTAATATTATATGAGTTATATGTTAAACTCTAAGCATATAAGCACTCACCGTACTGCGTAGGCGTAAGGCGGTTAAGGGTTAGGTAGCGCTACAATCCGCTATATTATCACCACCTTGGGGCAAACACGATCACAGTTAAAATTCATCATATTAAACGGACAATCTATATATAAGCTCACACTTATGGAGATGAAATTTGAGAAAAACTTTTCTTCAGTTGTAAACTTTTTGTAGGCCATTTAAAAGTAAAATTGTCTTTCATTCATCTTTAACGTTATTCAATAATTGACCTTATGTCACTGCCATAAGTGTGATTTTTCAATTCCGAGTTTCCAAACAACTTTAAAACACAAGGACTAGGTTACATGCATAAACCAAAAGGCGGAGGTATAAAATGTAAAAGCTTCAAGTTATTTTTTCTATTTAATGAATATCAAGTTTTTTGTAAAACAATTTGGTATTTATTAAAATTACTGGATAAGCAACCATAACCGCATCTTGGCACTAACATGAAGTTTTATAACATGCTATTTTTGTTATGCAGGTATTCATAACAGCTAGCCGCTAATACGCCTTTGAAAGCTATAAAATATAATGGGTTGTCGCAAGCTGACATCGGTGCCGGAGGAAGGGAGCAGTCTTGAGACACCTTTACTTCAGCAGCCGCCATAAGTTTGACTCCATCTGTACCTGATCTTAATTGATTGTCGCAGCCTGAGCACAGAGCCGCAGTTGGAGGCAGTCTGGGACTGCTCCAACTCGGCAGTCACTATTCAGTTTGTATCCAACTATACCAACCTAATCTTATGGGTTAGCGGAGCCGGAGGTGGGCGGCGACAACCCGCGAGCGCATTCCAGACGGTTGTTGTCTGAACGCTAAAACTTCAGCTTTCAGCAGCTGGTATGATGTGTTAATCCATCTATACCTGATCTTGATTGGTTGTCGCAGGCTGAGCTCGGAGCCGGAGGTGGAGGGCGAGCGCGCGGCCGCTAGCAGTCTGGGCGGGCGCGGTGTTCGCGGCGAACGTCCGCGAGCGAACTCCAGGCGGTAATTGTCTGAACGAGGACTGCCGCTGAACGCTTCCACTTCAGCAGTCGCTAAACAATGCCAACAATTCATATTATAATGCATACATTGCGTAATCGCCACGCTGCATCAGAACGTCGGTCGGCTCAAAACAGTCATGTTTCGCACGCACACATTGACGTTTCGTGTACAGGCATTTCACGCAGTTTCAAGAAGAACTTGATCGAGACTTGTTTTGAAAGGCACTTTTAACCTGAGTACTAATCAGCTACCACTGAACTCCTGTTTACAATTCTATTCTATTAAATTTGTTTATATCCTTAGGGACGTCCGATTTCCATAAACAAAAATTTTGGTTTTCCTGTATTCCTGACTAGACCTCGACGCAGTAGCCAAGTTTCTTAACTTTATATAAATAAAGTTAATCGCACACATTGCTATGAAAGCACTGCCTTTGTCCATCAAGCTCGCGACGGCACATTTATGGGAGCGACACACACTAACGCGTTTCCGTGTATACTATTGTTACATTAATATAACGAGCCACTGTTACATTTACTACAGCTTGTGTCCGGTTCCTCTTTCATCAGGAAATTTTGTGGACCATGTGATAGTAGATTTCCATGAAATGGGCGTATGGTCGCAGGTTTCTTTGGCTTTTTTTTCTGAGAATGTGCAAATATTTCTACAATGTTTTAGATTCAGCTGCGAGTCTGAACTAAGCGCCTACTAATGAGTTGTGTCAACTGCAAAATGACAGACAATAAAAGTCTACTAGTCTAGTCTAGTCTACCGAACCGAAGGTTTATACGGTTGCACAAGAATCTTGAATATTGGCCACCATTTAATACGTGAAAGTATTTTTTTTGTGTGTGAACGCGCTAACCTCTATGCCTCTGTGCTATCTGATTGCTGTCAGTTAGGATCCGTGATGTTTCTGTACGCAGGGTCATTAGCCTTAACATTACTTTATTATTAATATTCATTAGATTTATCATAAAAAATACAGGCACACGCGCGTCTCGTGCCCACTCGCTCACTTCATGCCTCATGCGAGTGTGACAGCTTCCATGCATAGGTTGCAGCAAACTTCCTGAGCAAAATCACGGGTAAATAAACTTGTGCAGTAGACGTTTTTATATGTAAAATTGCTACTGCACAGGCTTGCTGTCTAGTCTATTCGTTCAAGGTCGTTGCTCAAGAAGTTTGCCGAGGTGTAGTGGGCGTGCGTGGACATTTGGATTGCGCGCGCAGGCGGCTGGCTGAGCGTGCACATGCGCGGGCGCGGGCGCGCTCAGCCCCGTCGTACACGCACCCCTCGCTTTATTAGTTTTTGAGTGTGTATTCTGTTGTTCGCAGATGACCTTTACAGCGTCACCGGGTTCGGGGTCGGCGAGATCTTAAAGGGCCCTCAAGCCGAGAATTGGCGAGTGCCTCTAGAGGTATTTCAGGCGGATGGCATCTCCCCATGGCGGAAGTCTTCTCTCCGTCTCGAGCCTCTAGACCACTCGAACCTGAGGGGTCTGCTCAACTAAAGCGTCTCTGAGAGCGCCCCTCGCTGTCCGTGCCCACTGGCTCACTGTATACAGCGCCCGCGTGTAAGACGTTACCGTTGTAGACGGCGTGCGTAGACATGGGCATGCGCGCGCAGGCGGGCGGGTGCGCGTGCGCGGGCGCGGGCGCGCTCAGCCCCGCCGCCCAGTCGCGGTACACGCGTGCCTCGCTCTCCGTGCGCCACTCGCTTAGCTCTACGCTACGGATCTGGGGAAAAAATTAAACTTTACTTAATAACACACGACTTTTTAAACGGGAGTTCATAACTTAGTCCTTGGCACTATGATAACAAAATAAATGTCGCAAATCGGAAAGGTCTCGACACCGTATCAACTCGAGCCGTTCAGTATTCTTTATAAGAAACTTCTCTACTGCAACACACACTAATCGAAATCTTAAGGACGCGAGTCCTTTTCCGACTTGATGTGTATCTGTTACAACTTTTAAATACCAAAGTTTGTGATAGGATAGAAACATGCCAGTATTAACGCAAGAACTAGCAAATAAACTTATCACGTCTGATGTGTAGTCTCAATAGGGTTTGAAAGGAAACTTACCGGTGTGGTACTCTTGCTTCTGCCACTGATCTCCGAGGAGGCGTTGCTGTGTCCTTGCCTCCTTTCTCTCGTCCTTTCAGGGGCTGGGGACTCGCGGCATGAGCCGTCGGGCTCATCGCGAGTCTGCAAGAAATATAATTATTTTACGATAAAAGATCCAGATAAACCAACTAAATCCAGCGTTTGAGGATAATTGTACCGCAGTGTTGGTGCTACATATTTTGCATCTAGTTAATCTCTTAACTTCCGCAAGGTTACTGCAGGTGTTGCAGTTGCCTTCTAAATAAATAAATAAATAATGATTGTATAGAGAGCTCGATATAGAAATAGTTAGCAGTTTGGTCTGAGGCTGTTTAAGATTTGCAGTGCAAACACAGGTCATCGAATGGGTGACGAAAAAGATTTTATTTCTACCTCTTCCGTGATTCAGGTGGTACATTATGCTCATAGTTTCCGCTTACATAATCGCAACGAGCCTGCATGTTTGAGTTATGATCTGGGGGCCATTCGCCTAACGGAAATGCTATGGAGAACGCTAACGCTTTCGATTTTATTTTATTATTTCTGATCGCCGAAGGTTTTCAAATACCTCACGCTCATTTTTTTTAATATTGTTATTACCAATGCAAAAGAAAAAAATAGAGCGCGAGGCATTTGAAAACCTCAGGCGGCTAGAAAAAACAAAATGAAATCGTAAGCGTTAGCGTTTTCCAAAGTATTTCCGTAAGGCGAATGGCCCCCTGTTCTCCCTGATAATGTCTATATATATAAGAGAATTCATACGCCCCAGTAGATACTGTTTTTTTGTCTCCCTACGTGATATATATTGTCTAAATGTCAGTGACATAACTTAGCCAATGATGAAATAGAAACCTTGGTGTGGTGTGTAGTGGTGGGCATACTGGCTGCGCCGCTGCTCACCAGTCGCAGTTGTTGTCTGATACTGGCCTTCTCTCGCGCACGCTTGCGTTGGAATTCTTCCTCCACTCTGCAAAAATGATAAAATAGTAAAAATATCACCTCATACATACAAAAATGACATATTCATATTAACATTCCAAATTACTTTGACCTATTTAACAATATATGATTTTGACATGGAATGCAGAGATCAGCCTTCGAAGCCTTTTCGAAGCAGAAGGGGCAGGAGTATATTTTATGACTTGGTAATTGAGTGTGATTTTCTGGCTGTATTTGAATTACTGCAGAATGCTTTTATTTATCGATGTCTGTTTTTGTATTGTTCATCTAAAATTGGCTACACAAAATACATGTACGTGAAAGTGGTGAGTGGCCCTAATTTAGCGCGTTAGGTCTAAGATCGTAGAAAAGCCGGAAGGCACGATAAGCCGTTGGTTCAGGCTGTCGTCATTACCACCTAACAATCCGCACTGGCCCTGCTTGGTGGGCCTTTGGCAAAAATTCGTAGTCCGTCTTTAAGTACGTTTTGATAATAATCAGATATACGTCGTGCGTCTTACCTCCTCATGGCTTCCAACTCGGTCCTCCTCTGCTGTTCTTTAAGGTCAGCCTCCCTGGACAACTTCTCGGCTATGCGACGCCTCTCCAGCTGCCGCACTGTTGATTGGAACGTGAATCGTTTGCCTCGACTAGGAGCGTTCGACTGATTCCGCTGCAACAAAAATAAATCTTACTTAGCATGACTTTGCTGGTTTGGTAGGAAATGTCGAGTCTCTTTTGTCACGAGCAGAATGCTGTTGTTTGGATTAGAGAAGAGCAAATTATTGTTGAAATTTTCACACAGTGGCGCCCATCACTGATCAAGTTACATTTAAAGGTAGTGGTCTTTCTTTTGATTCGTAATTTATATTTAATACGTCAAATGAAAATAATTAACATCTCGGAGTTCATGCACAAATCCTGTCAAGACAGGATTACTGTTTAAAAAGACGCTGCACATATTTCAGTCACGAAAAGAAAGCAATGAAGAAAACTCAGACTACAGAATATTAATTGGAACATCGGAACTAGAAAAGGACTACAAATTAGATAAAGCTCAAATACCTGGTGAACATTATAAACCAGAGCACGAAATTAATAGTTGATTTCACACTCGAACTCAAAACGTGCGCCTAATTACGCATAGACAGACAATATCGCACGGATGCGTAATGCGAAGCGGTTCGACCATTTTCCTTTGTTGGAAACCACAATTTGGAATCGCCATCGTATTCAGAGCGTGCGAACCGCGATGCCAAGATAGAGCACAATTTGTGTGCTAAATATGTGTTTAGTTAAATCATGAATAGTAAGAAAAGAAGATGATTGTGGATCCACTGCCCTCGTTAATAAATTCGAGTTAGCTTCGAGTCTATTGTTGCCGGTCATTTTATGGAAATGGTTTTCTAACGTAACTCTTGCGTGATATTCAAATGATGGGATTAGTAAGTTTCATCAAATCATATGCGGAATTCTCTTAAATCGCTCATGTTATTTATATACGGGAGAGGATAAGCCTTGAACCTCGACTAAATCAAAAGAACAAAGCTACATAAGTATCCTTAAAGGTGTGAAAAACAAACGTTTACCAAAATTAGTGTATATTTATTAATTGCTCAAGGTTCCCATCATATTTCTACGTTTTTATTGTGATTAGGAAGTGCATGTCACTGATAAGCGAGAATGCAAACTGTTTTGATCGCAATCTCGCATCCTGCGCTTACGCAATTTGACCTCTGACAGTGTTCCAATCCAAATCACTGACGAATCTATTATGTAGGTTTGGTAGGTATATTATATATGGTTCTTGTTCTTAAATAATCTAAGCCAACAACACAGAAGATATAGTATTTTTAATTTGCACAACAAACCGATAATTTAAATTGACTTGAGTTTTTTTTATTCTAGGCAAGCTACAGATTTTTATGTATTTAAGGCACTATCGGTCCTATATAAAAGAGACTAAGCAATGTCAGATAATTACAAAAAAATATTTATTTAACTAATTTTGTTATCCTTGTTCTCAAGTTTTAAAACTGAATATTTTCCATGGCCCTAATTCAATCAAGTATTTGTATTCAAAAAGTCAACATCTTTATTTCTGTATAAATACTTACTCGGTAAATATTCCGAAGAGCTGTGTTTCTCTGTTATGAAATAAAGAACCATACCAACGTTGTATGATGTTGATGATATTGAAGACAAAAGCGGACAAGACAATCTGCATGCAATTCGAAGAATTAAAATTTTTGGTTGGGAAAAATTTAAAAACCCTTGTGTACTTAATAAACAAAGAAACAGCGTGTGTGTGGAATACGAGTTCAAGGAAGCAGAAAAATCTCACAAAGCTAGACATTTGTAAGTTTATAAACAGTTTGTACCTACGCGATTTGCATTTTCAAGACCTATGTAAGGTCTATGTTTTGATATATGTTTTAGTAATTTAAACAATCCACGCCGAGTCATATTAAAGATTACAAAGAAATACATTTTTTTTTATTTATTTATTGCTTGTGGGATGCTCTTCGCATGGTTGTTTTAATTAGCTTTAACGACCTCGCCCAGGTCCAGCCAGAATACCAGCGCTGACACAGTGAGAAAGTACTTTCTCATTGTGTCAACATAAGCTGAGGCAGGGTCCTGATTGGCTATCTTAGATTTTTTAGTTCTTTTTTTATTTTTTGTTTTCTTAAGTTAAGTTAAGTTTTCTTGTATTTCATTTTTTATTTTATTTTTTTATTTTCTATTGTTGTATTGATAAGTTTTTCTTTTGTTAAGATGGCCAATAAAAGGTTTCATTTCATTTCATTTTCATTACATACAGAAGCAACGGCGCATTTATCTCAAAGAACGTAAGTATCTGCGTTAAAGCATTGGCATTGCGGAGGAATGCTGATCGTGATTGCTTGTTGGCAGTGATCGTCACGTGGATCTAGATTGTCGCTCAAATGTCCGTGGTCGTGAAACAGTACGAGGTTTATTGGTGCGCCGTGAGGAGTTCGCAGTTTGATTGAGGTGTGAGATTTTGCGTGGGACTTTTTCAACATTGCCTGATACTTGACAGGGAGGACCTTTATGAAGGTTAAAAAGAATGGACAAGTTTGCATACTAAGTATACATTTAAATATTCTATTCCCTCAAAAAACTTTTCATAATAATTCATGATCCGTATCAATAGTCGTAAATAACATAATTGTCGTTGAAAGGTTTATTAATGTATTTCTCGTTAATCCTAAAAAAAGAAGATATAGTATTTTGTGATATTTATTAACTTAAAAGAACAAAAAAGCTTTTCTTTTAACATAACAGTGAAATCAGTTGTTTTATTTTGGTGTGCGCTAAATTTGACAATATTAATGTTTCACCTATAAAAAAATAGAGTCCTCTAAATACTTAAACTTTACAACGGCTGTCACGTAACTAAAGTAGATAAATTATTTAAGAAGATCTTAACTAAACAAAAACAATTCCCAACCGTTCAGCAAGTTACTTTTAATAATCTCACGTGAATCTTTTGGTAATAAACCCGAAGCATGTCATGAACAATCTGTTTAGCATGTCGGTTATAAAACAAAAATGAATAAATAAACAGCAAAGTGACTTTAGTTAATTAATAATCCTCCTAGTGCATTGTGTAGTAACCTTTTTTTTATTTGCCATAACCACTAAAAACGAAGATTTTAATCGATATTATATACCTATATTATATTATAACAAAATTATTGGTATTATTTTTTATTTCCTTTGGTATTCGTTACGGAATTAAAAAAAAATACCGGCCAAGTGCGAGTCGGCCTCGCGTACCGAGGGTTTCGTACAAACCTGTAGGTATGTTTTAATAATTATTAAAAAACATTTTGTATTATATGTAACTAAAAAAATACGGTTTTCGGATTTCTTTATCTGTACTTTATGACGTTACTTCGTACCAAATTTCAAGATTCTAAGTTCATGGGAAGTATCCTGTAATTTTCGGTAATTTGCGGCATAAACGGCTGTATCCTTTGATTGCTTTGGCTTAGATGTTTGTTTTTTTCACAGCTCCAAGGGACAGTACACCTGAGTATTACATATGAATTTCAGTTTGATACCTCCACGCGTTCCTGAAAAAACGGTCTTGACAAACGGACGGACGGAGGGACGGACAACAAAGTGATCCTATAAGGGTTCCGTTTTTTCCTTTTGAGGTACGGACCCCTAAAAACATCGGATGTAAGTCGCAAACCACCGGACGAAGCCAGCTTTTTTTTCATATTTTTGAAAATCTAATTTACCGTATTAATCACTCGCCTTATTTGTTTAAAAAAACAGTTACTCTGTTCTATAACTAATTAGTTTAATTGTAGTAAAGAGAACTGTAAATCACAATGCATTTATTGTAGGTTGCCTCCTCATTTTCTTAACTAATGGATGCCTTGTTATGTGACAATACTGCTGGTACTTACATGCTTAATTTAAAATGGAACGACTTAAGTAACTATTGTGAAAGCCAACAGACTAGCGTATGCCGTAATGTCATAGACAATGGATTGCCATTACATATCCATTATAAGGAGACCCTACGGATCGCGCTAATTTCTTATGTCTACTGAAGACACGAGGTTCTTGTAAGGTTGGTCGTTCTTTGCTCGTCTTCGTCGTGACAAGCGTCGATTCTGTATGTTAACAAACTGCCTGTTTACACAATATTAGTACATAATCTTTTCGAATTCAGTTAAAAAAGACTTAAGAAACAATAGGCATTGTATTTGGAAATTATCAGGACTATGTTGCTCTATCCCCCAAGTCTATTATCCCACATAAAAAGTGATTATATAAAATAGGTGTATTTTTCAAAGTCTACGGTAAGTTAGTGTTTGAATTAAATATATAAATAAATATATAATATTTCAGGACCTCGTGTCACTCTTCCATGAGATCCACTTAATAAATTGTCAAGTACCTAATTAAAGAGTTTAAAATATTATTTTTGTATTGGGAATTTTACGAGATTGAAACTAATAGGTACGCGTTTGCCAGGTTTTTTCAATAACCTTGTGTGTGGTTAACTGTAACTGTGTCGTTTGTAATTATGTACACAGAAAGTTCGAGGCTTAGATCAACTGTCCAAACAGTGCGGAAATAGCTATAACGTTCAAATATTACTCAGCTATTGGGACAGAGAAAGATATACAGCTGTTCAAGCAAGTTGTTTGTGTTCGTTGCCCAATAACAGTTCTAGGCCGCTGGTGTTGTCTGTGTCCATTATATCCGTAACGAGATTTGGGCATCATCGAAATTATTTTTAGACCCAGCTAATTACTCCACCTGATGTTCAGTGTGAACTAGAATCTTCTAGTTCCGAAGATACCTTGTCGGTTTGTTCATTAATAACTCGTCATCATTCATTCATTTTATGTAAAAATGGCGGCATACAAGCGCGTGGCCTGTCTGATGGTATGGGGCCACCATAGGCTATAGACGTTTGCGATACTAAAAATATCATTCGCACCGTTGCCTACCCTGCCTCAGTCCCCTACCCCGTGGAGCCCTGGAACCTTACCTACCGACAAAAATACATCATCACCAAAAGGTAGTGTCATTTTATTATGATCTTCTGTAAGGGTGTAAGGAGGTTAAGTATTTCCTCAGACAGGCTCTCCCATTCGAGCGGAAAAGCGGTCGTGACCGCCC